CTGTATGGAACTTCCCCTGCTTGTAATGATTCAGATAAATTTGCATCTAATGAGTGTTGTGGATCTGCAGGAATGCATAGGGCGTTGGATTCAGTCATATTGAATCTCTCCAAAATGTGTTGACAGTATAATGACTGATGTATAAATATTGACCCATCTGATCTCTGATCAATTTCAATACCCAGAAAATGATTAAGTTCACCTGATTTTGTCTCAAAGTTGCTCATCAGGTACTTCACCATCATGTCCACCTGCTCATCATTTGTTGCTGCTATAATCCCATCATCTACAAAAATAGCTACAATCATTAATTGTTCATTTTTATTACTTACAAATACACAGGGATCTGCCTTTGTTTCTTTTAGATCAAATTTTAACAACAAATTTTTAAATTTTGTATTCCAGCACCTGGGTGCTTGTTTTAATCCATACAAGCTTCGTTGAAGTTTGCAAACTTGTTTAGTTCCATCTTCATAACCTTTTGGCTGGTTCATGTAAATCTCTTCTTCAAGATCACCATATAAAAAGGCTGTTTTAATATCAAATTGTCTGAGTTTTAATTTTCTGGCTGCTGCTATTGCTAGCAGTACTCGTATAGAGTCATACTTTACAACTGGACTAAAAGTTTCTTGAAAATCAATTCCATGCACTTGTGCATAGCCTTTTATAACTAGTCTGGCTTTAAATCTATCAACTTCTCCATTTTTCTTGAGTTTGGTTCGATATACCCAGCCATTGTTAAGTACTTTTTTATTTGTTGGTATATTTACTAATTTCCAGGTTTCATTCTTTTTTAATGACAACATTTCTTCATCTATTGCTTCTTTCCAATCTTCTGAATTTTCTTGTGTCATAGCTTCTTCATATGTAACTGGATTATCACACATTGAATAAAATGTTTCTGTTCTATACCTTACTGGTTTTTCTATATTTTGTCTATCTCTAAGTCTCATTTTTAATTGCTCATGAGTCTGATCTGCTGATTGATCAAGTTCATCCATATTTTGTTTTCTTTCAACATTATTCTCATCATTACTGTTATTTCCTTCACTTTCAACCACCATTTCTGAATTTATTTCTTCATCTTCTTTTCTAATTTTGATTTCTATTTCCATAGATTCTTTGAATATAACATCTCTGCTTAATGAAACTTCTTTTCCATCAAAGCATATGCGGTATCCTTTAGTTTCTTCTGAATACCCAACAAATATTCCTTTTCTCCCCTTTTGATCCCATTTTCTACGTTTNCTTTTCTCCCTTTTTGATCCCATTTTCTACGTTTTTCTTTTGGTATATGAACATAAACTTCACTACCAAATACTTTAAAATTGCTTATATTGGGACTTTTATTATACCATAATTCATAGGGCGTTTTTTCTTTGTTACCTGAATTTAACGTACGATTCAATACATAAACAGCTGTATTTACCGCTTCAGCCCAAAGATTTTTTGACAAATTTTTACTGTATAACATAGTTCTAGCTGCTTCTACTATTGTACGCATTGTTCTTTCCGCTTTACCATTTTGCTGTGGTGTATATGGTACACTGGTCTCATGTTTTATACCAAATTTATTCAAAATAGCTTTGACTTCATCATTCTTATATTCCAAACCACAATCACTTCGCAAAGTAAGAACTGATATATTTAACTGATTTTTCACTGTATTTAAGAATAATTCAAACTTCTCTTTTACTTCTGATTTTTGTTTCATAAAATATACATATGTGTACTTAGAGTAATCATCTTTGAATATAACAAAGTATCTTTTACCATCAAGAGAATTTTCTTCCATGGGTCCACAAACATCACTGTGAATTATCTTACCTGGTTTTGTTGTTTTANTTTTCTTCCATGGGTCCACAAACATCACTGTGAATTATCTGACCTGGTTTTGTTGTTTTGGTACTGCTCAGTGTAAATGGTTCTCTGTGTTGTTTACCATAAATGCAAGCTTCACAGAAAAATTTGTTTTCCATATCTGTGAATTGAATACCCATATGCCTTAGGTAATTTCTAACATATTGAACATTCTGATGACCTAGTTTTTCATGCCACTGTTGTAATGTAAGAATTTTTTCAGCAATATTCACTTGATCTATCTCTTGCGAAATCCTTGTTTTAAAAATCATCGAAAACAATTTATTCTCACGAATTCCAACAGCAACTGCACTATTTCCTCTTTTAAATGTTTAAACATTTTTGTCTGTTATCACTATTATACCTTTATCAAGGCACACTCCACATGAAAACAAATTTACTTTGAGTTCAGGTACATGTAAAACATTTGACAAATAACTGTCAACCCATTTTTCGCCAATTTTTGCTTGAACATATATATTACCTTTACCAATAGCCATAATATATTTACCATCACCAATACGTACTGGCAACTGAATCTTGAACGACTCATAAGTTCTGAACCACTCTCTTCTACTGGTCATGTGATCACTTGCACCGGAGTCCACATACCATTTATCAAAATCACTAATTTTGCTCACCATTGAATTAACGCCTATTAGTGCATTACCAGAATTTGATTCGTTTTTATTCTTTCCGTCTTGTTCTTTCTTCAAAATCCAGCAATCACGTTTCCAATGACCTGGTTTCTTACAAAAATTGCAAATTCCTGGTTTTCTATTATTATTTTGTTGATTTCCAAATTTTGAATATTTTTGTTTTTGTGTTCTAAACAATTTTTTCGCCGCAAATGCACTATTTTCACCATTATTTTTCTGGATTTCATGGCCATTACTTTGTCTTGTTTCCTCTACCATAAGTCGGGATGTCAAGTTTAACAATGTTTTGTTCTCAGATGATATAGAATCCCATGCACTATAAAAATATTTATAATTTTCTGGCAAGGTCATAAGAATTTTGGTTATAAGCATTGAATCGGATATTGGTTCACCTAACTGTTTTAATTGTTTACTCAAGTTTTCTAATTTTGATATATGTTGTGCCATATTATCATTTTTATCCATAACATAACTATAAAATTTTTGCTGAATCAATGTAATTGATGTATCAGACTTTTGTTCATATACACTCAGTAATTTATTCCACATACCTTTCGCTGTGTCACAGTTCATTATATAATCTAATGACTGCTCATCTACTGACATAACTATAAAACGTTTAGCCTTAGCATCTGTCATTAACCATTTTTGCTGCACTTGTTCTAAACGCAATTGTGCCTCTGTGTCTGTTTCTGTATCATGTTTTATAATTTGAATTGGATATTCATAACTTCCATCTATTACAGAGAACAACACATCATATGATTTTAATATTACCGTCATTTGAAATTAAGTTTGTTAATTTTTATAGATTCGTTTTCCATGATAACGAATTTCCTGCATACTGTCTGCACACAATAAAAACTTACAATAATATTTAACACGATCGCGTCGATCGTAGTAAGTGCGTAGTAAGTGCGTCACTTACTACGCGAACGCACTTTAAATTTCACGATTAATTATATTACTAAAAAAACATCTAAATATTGAGTACTGGGTACTGGGCCCATAACCTGTTAAATGGAATAGGTTATGTAATTAAAAGATTTAGAAATTATTCGTAATATAATAGTATTTAATATAAAATGTTAAAACATATAATATAAGAGATGTACAACGGCAACGGGTCACTTTACTCGATAGACGGTGAAACTACGACTAAACTGTAAACATGTATACAATAGGCTGCATTGAGTAAAACAACATAATCGTAAAAGGAATGTGTCCCTTTGACCTTGTACTATACTAACATAAGTAGAAATACATTAAACTGTTATCTTAAATAATATTACTGTACCCAGTGTGTTGTTTAATAATATCAACAGTTACAAACATACATACATACATACATACAGGTGAAACTAATATAAGCGTGTTAAAAAAAAACACATCATAATAAAACTAATATTTTCTGAGCTTCACATAGATGCTAAAATACAATTTTTGTATAAAAAATTCTTTTTCATATTTTTAACTTTATAATGCTATAACTTTTTAAAAAATGATCATTACGATTTTGTTATGAGAAATTTATATACTTCTTTTATTTGATATACTTTGCTTTTAAATAAAACAATTTCCCTTTATATATTAATTCATATATTTCACCTATAAATCATAAAAATTATAATCAGGATATAAATAAGAAAATAGGAGATCGTGTATTTGATATTATTATACTTGACTCAACTATGCCACGTCCCAACTGTGCTGGGGTTTTTTTTAACTTTATAATGTTATAACTTTTTGAAAAATATTTGGATCAATACATTTTTTTTATGATAAACACTATTTATTATTACTCTATATTTCTCTTCTATTTGACATACTTTTTATTAAATAAAACCATTTCCCTTTATATACTAATTCATATATTACACCCATAAATCATTAAACTTGTAATCAGGATATAATTAAGGAAATGGAAGTTCACTTTGCTTTTGGAATAATTCACCAATTTCTTAAAATTAATGATTATCAATTTAAACCTATACTTGACCCAACTATGCAACGTCCCCACTCTGCTGCACCCCACTATGCTGGGATTTTTTTTTTACATTAAAGAACATTACATAAGCTTTTATTTAAGATATATATAAAAGTGTCAGAATTTCCGGAACACTTTTAAAAATTAAGTTGAAGAAGTTCTATTCTATTTACATTTATAAGTTTTATACGCCCCCTATATAAAGAGAAATGGTCCGATTTAAATAAATGTATGTCGACTAACAAAATATTGACACAAAAATTTATAATTAATCATAAAATGTGGGGATTAAAATATACCTACTATAATTAGTATAAAAATATTAATAATTTGAATTCAACTTAAAAATAAATTTATTACTTATAACTTTATGAATGACAATATTATTTGACCATTCATTAAATATATATACTTATTTAATAGTCTAGACTATAAATATTATTTTAATAAAATTTCCATAAACTAAATAATAATAATTAATTTTTATCATATAGCGATTCAATATTCAGATGACGATGAAATGTGTCAGATTGAAAAAAGTTTTACTACAGAAGCTGCCGAAAATGGAAACTTAGAATTTTTAATATATGCTCATGAAAATGGATGTGAATGGAACGAAGAAACAACAAAGGCTGCTGCTACTAATGGATATTTAGAAATCTTAAAATCTTTACATATAAATGAATGTCCGTGGGATGAAAGCACAACAGAAGCAGCTGCTTCTAATGGTAAAATTGAATGTTTAAAATATGCTCATGAAAATGAATGTCCGTGGGATAAAAGCACAACAGAAGCAGCTGCTTCTAATGGAGAATTAGATTGTTTAAAATATGCTCATGAAAATGGATGTCCATGGGATGAATCAACAACACAAGAAGCTGCTTATAGTGGTGAAATAGAATGTTTAAAATATGCTCATGAAAATAAATGTCCGTGGGATAAAAGAACAACAGCAGCAGCTGCTACTAATGGTAAAATTGAATGTTTAAAATATGCTCATGAAAATGAATGTCCGTGGGATAAAAGCACAACAGAAGCAGCTGCTTCTAATGGAGAATTAGATTGTTTAAAATATGCTCATGAAAATGGATGTCCATGGGATGAATCAACAACACAAGAAGCTGCTTATAGTGGTGAAATAGAATGTTTAAAATATGCTCATGAAAATAAATGTCCGTGGGATAAAAGAACAACAGCAGCAGCTGCTACTAATGGTAAAATTGAATGTTTAAAATATGCTCATGAAAATGAATGTCCGTGGGATAAAAGCACAACAGAAGCAGCTGCTTCTAATGGAGAATTAGATTGTTTAAAATATGCTCATGAAAATGGATGTCCATGGGATGAATCAACAACACAAGAAGCTGCTTATAGTGGTGAAATAGAATGTTTAAAATATGCTCATGAAAATGGATGTCCGTGGGATGAAAGAACAACAGAAGCAGCTGCTTCTAATGGTAAAATAGAATGTTTAAAATATGCACATGAAAATAAATGTCCATGGGATGAAACAACAACAAAATCAGCTGCTTCTATTGGTAAATTAGAATATTTAAAATATGCTCATGAAAATGAATGTCCGTGGGATGAAAGCACAACAGAAGCAGCTGCTTTTAATGGTAAATTAGAATGTTTAAAATATGCTCATGAAAATAAATGTCCATGGGATGAAAGAACAACAGAAGCAGCTGCTACTAATGGTAAAATTGAATGTTTAAAATATGCTCATGAAAATGAATGTCCGTGGGATAAAAGCACAACAGAAGCAGCTGCTTCTAATGGAGAATTAGATTGTTTAATATATGCTCATGAAAATGGATGTCCTTGGGATGAAACAACAACACAAGAAGCTGCTTGTAGTGGTGAAATAGAATGTTTAAAATATGCTCACGAAAATAAATGTCCTTGGAATGAAAGCACAACACAATTAGCAGCAATTTTTGGTAAATTAGAATCTTTAATGTATGCTCATGAAAATAAGTGTCCGTGGGATGAAAGCACAACAGAAGCAACTGCTTTTTATGGTAATTTAGAATGTTTAAAATATGCTCATGTAAATGAATGTCCGTGGGATGAAAGCACAACAGAAGCAGCTGCTTCTAATGGTAATTTAGAATGTTTAAAATATGCTCATGAAAATAAATGTCCATGGGATGAAAACACAACACAATTGGCAGCATATCATGGTAAATTAGAATGCTTAAAGTATGCTAATGAAAATGGATGTCCGTGGGATGAAAGCACAACAGAAGCAGCTGCTTTTAATTGTAAATTAGAATGTTTAAAATATGCTCATGAAAATGGATGCCCATGGGGTGAAAGCACAACAGAAGCAGCTGCTTTTAATGGTAAATTAGAATGTTTAAAATATGCACGTGAAAATGGATGCTTTTGGAATAAAACTACGATAAAAGCGGCTGCACAAAACAATAAGTTAGAGTGTTTAAAATATGCTCATGAAAATGGGTGTCCGTGGGATGAATCTACAACTAGAGCTGCTGCAGCGAGTGGCGGTTTAGACTGCTTAATATATGCTCACAAAAAAGGATGTAATTGGGATAAAGATACGATAGCTGCAGCAGCTGTGCATGGTAATTTAGATTGTTTAAAATACGCCCGTACTCATGGATGTGATTGGGTTGAAGGTACAATGAGGTTGGCTGCAGCGAATGGACATTTAGACTGCATTAAATATGCCCATGAAAATGGTTGTGAATGGGACGAAGGCACAACAAGGGAAGCTGCTGCTAGTGGTCATATTGACTGTTTGATATATGCACATAGAAATGGATGTAAATGGGATGAAGGGACAATGAGTGGAGCTGCTGCAAATGGTCATTTAGTCTGCCTAAAATATAGTCATTCGAATGAGTGTGTGTGGGATGAAGGGACAACAAGACTTGCTGCTGCAAATGGACAATTTGATTGCATAAAATTTGCCCATGAAAACTATTGTCCATGGAGTGGAGGTACCATTTATGAAGCTAGTCAAAAAGGTTATATAAGTATAATCAACTATGCTACCGAAAATGGCTGCCTTAATTAATTTTTTGTTGAAATATAATTATTTTTATTTTATTTATTTATGTTGTCTATTATGATATTGTTTAAAAAATTAATTTACTTATTTTTGATATTTAACCAAGATGATGGTATTGATATTAGTAACGGCATTTTTGAAATTTTCATTTCTCAAGAAATACTATTTTTGGAACTATTACCAAAATTTAATATATTACATTAGCATTTATTCTTTTCTTTTTAGTTTTCCATCATATTACAAAAGACTAGCTGAATCATTTTTGAGTATTTTTTCTTGAATGCAATTTTGTTATGAATATAATTCAACTAACATTTACAATTTAATTAACACTAATGAATACTAAATATTTATATCGTCTTTAAAATATAAATCCTTAGAATGTAGTTAACATAAATAATAAGTATAATGTACTTCAACGTGCTTTCCCGCAAAGATCTTAACAGTTGGCTAAGCTGTACCTAAACGGGGCAATGCTTGCCCTATATAATTTGTATCCCACTAAAAGGGTAGTTAACGGTTTCGTGACCAAATAAATACAGACTCTCAACTATCAACGATAACAAGCATTTATTTCTATTTAATATTATTTAAATATAATCTGACTGGGTCTCTAGAGATGTTGGTGGTATCCAAGTTAGGTGAGCGACAGCAGCGAGTTTACACAACCCGATATAATAATAATAAATAAAATAATAATAATGTTTAATTTAGTAATCACAACAATACTGTACGAGTTAAGTAATCAGATCAATAAAGGTAAGGTGCTGCAAGCGTGGTAAAATGTCGACTGACTTCATTAAGGTTTTAATTAATTTAAGAACAGTGTGTAATCGGTTTGTTTACACTCGCGCGTCGTATTCTCACAGTTGAGTTTTAGGGTCGTTTGTGCGGATCAGGCATTAGTATAGTTGTAAATTGTTGATGTTGGTGAAGGACGAATAATCTGTCCGTAACAGTACCATGAAACTTTTTTATTTATTATAAATCCATAAGTTGTATATTTGTACTTGTAACATAAAATTCATTTGAAAAAATGCTCTCAACTTAACAAATAATTTTTACAGAATATCGTCATAGAGCTTTCAAAAAAAAAAAAAAATTGAAAATTGTATATCGTTATTTATCAAAATTTATTTATTTAAAATAAGACACTATATTGAATTAACATAGAAAACTATTTTGATATCATAGTAATCAAGTTATATAAGATAAATTTATTACCATTGAAATAATATACTATTCAGTTTTTTTTAATGACTATTTTGTCTATTTTGTCAAAAATAAATTGAGCAAAGGCCAATTTTGTATCCTCAGGATGTACATGGTGAACATCTCATTGGACCCTCTACATTTATGTAGAGGATACCCATTAACGTTGGTGACATGTCCATTATACCATGATACATACGTAGATCTGTCATACTCATTTTTCCTCTACCCCTTATTTTAATTTTCATTTCTTTAATAATACTATCCAGTTAATGTATTATTAAATTTAGGTATGGTCTGACTAAGACAAATCAAATTTTGATGTATACATTGATAATCTTTAGAATTTTTTCTCTTACTTTTGCTAGTCTATAGACTTTTCCCGCATTCCTTTGTTCCTAGCCAATCATACAACTCAGCTTACCTCTTAAATTTCACCTTACTTACTGCACACTTAGTTTCCATGCACAAGCGTTTACACTCCATCCAATCTTCTCTCCTTTTGCTCTTCTACTATACTTTGAATTGCCTTTTCTTTCTTTCTATGATTTTTTTAACATCCTCATGCAACCACCAGGTTTCCTTGTTTGCTGCTATTCTACTCCTACTCTTATCAACAATCTCCTTTGCAGTATTCTTCATATAACTAACAAATCTATTTCACGCATAATTTATGTCTCCCTCGACATTCCATACCGTCCTTTCTTTTACCGTCTTTAAAAACTCATTTTCATTTTGTTGGATACTCATCAATTGAATGCGCTGTCGAGAAATTGTGTTGTGATTACTTATGTTATCATTGTGCTACACCGAGTTGTCGGTCTTCTCTCTATGTCTGCATTGTCGCCGCTATCTTAGCGTATTTTAGCTATAAACTCTATGGCACTTGCGAGCCAGTAGTTTTGTACTCGTTTAGTTTTAAAAGTAAAATATCACCTTTGCAATTTTCGCACCCTTGTGCACTCAGTATATCGCCGTTGAGTCTATATATTTTCTGAAATGCATCACAGTAACATTTACAGCATATTCTACACGTATGTCAGCTACTTGCATTCGATTTCAATTGATCCTTTCAATATTCAACATTGTTATTAGTCGATAAATATTATACTTATCGGCTAATAATACTTTTTAAGATTTACTCACTTCTATTTTTTTATATTAGCACAATATGGTATTAGTATTAAGTGTCCCCCTATCCACATAAGATTTTATAATTCATATATAATACATTTAATTGTTATGATTATATATTGTAAATTTCATTCTACATTCATTCATACAGTCCACTCGCCTTATTCCTTATCCTCGACATAGCCAAAGACTTAAGACAAAATAAAACCACGAACGTGTATGTACCTGCGTGAATACCACCAGGCGCTGCGTTCATTCACATTTCTCCATTCAATTTCCACCATCGGATCCGTGATTTTTCTCCTGTATTCTTTCTGTTTTTTTATGTTCTCTTCCCACTATACCAAAACACCATTACCATCAGTGTTATGTAGTTATACTCTCATGTGGGATAACTTTACAATTATTTACTATACACTCCCTTCCACACAATAATTAATCTGTGTAAAATCCAAGATTCTTTCCACTAAAACAATATCCTCTATGTACTCTTTCATATCTACTCCACTTATTACCTACATGTCATATTTCCACCTATCATCGCATTCTCATTGCCAGGTGCTTCTTGCATCACCCCATCCATCTATCTCCAAAACACTTCCTTGTCTATTTTATCACACCCTAATTGTGGTGTAGGGCACTTATTACATTCAAAAATTTTCTCTCGAAAATTAATTTTACGACTAAAATCCTGTCACTTTTCCTAGCTACTTCTACTACTTTACTTTTCATATTCTTACCCATTATTATCCCTACACCATTTTTTTGTATTAGACTTACCTGAGTATATTATTTTATAACTCTCACCTATTTTCTTTGCTCCCACTCTCTTGTACTTAGTTTTCTGCCCACAGAAAATGTTCACTTTTCTCGTCATCAATACTTCCAATTATTTTCTACCAGTTAATGTTCCAACATACCAAGTACCTATTCTTACTTTGTGTTTATCTTTGCCCCTTATACACGAGTCCAGCCTAGTGTTAAGTGTTGATGTCCCTAGACCGTTGATACTACAAGCATTGGATAGACCTGTACACACGACTAGTAAAATAGCTACCGCACAAGTCGTCCGGCTGCTATCAATCACATTCTTCCTTACACCTTCTCCGTTTTCAACTACTTTATTTCCTCTCACTTGTTGTCCCCATGTACATCTAAGATGGGATAATCCGCCTAAGTCTTGTGTCAGGACTCCTCATACTTTTTGACAAAAATTTTACGCTGGCTGTCGACCTGACGCAACCTCATTAGTCACCTCTTACAATGGCAGAGTCCGGTACGAATATCAATGGTTCAGTATGATATATTTATTGTTTACTCAATTAATTTAAAACATAATATTTTTTTATTGACCCATTTAACCATGATAATACAAAATTTTTGAAATTTGAATCGATGTATAAAAAATGTATTCATTATTTTTGCAGGCCAATTGGGACTGTTTTTAAAGTAAAGGTGCAACCACACATCCTGACCCCACACAAATGATGCCCCTGCTAGGTAGTCTATTAAAGTTCGACTCAAAATATACGAATTGTCGTACGTTGATAGTGCCCCAAGTTTTACACAAAGTTTTTACAAAAGTTTTACACAAATTAATTAATGTTTATATATATATATATATAAATTGACGACGAGTTCGTGAACTACTAAAGGGGTAGAGTTTAGACCCGTCAGCACAGTATAGTTCAAAAGTAGCAGAATGAAGGGTGGCTCCTTGTCAGCCACCAGCACAACTAGTCCAACCTCGACTCTTGCCGCACACACACAAATTTTAATATCACGGCGGATATAAAGTATGTACTCTTAAATACAGATTTTTAAATAATAATTTTATTTATTCATCAAGTATAATATAAAAATTTAACACAAAAATTAATTAAATCTTACAAAAATACAAAGTTTTTCGCACACCAACGACCTAACCCGTAACTCGACGTTTCTTCGTCCAAATGTCCAGTCTCGTCTTGCTCAGTCCCCCTATACTTTTCATGTTTCCCTCTTTATATTCTTTTTCCTACCAAATTTGCTTACCCTGCATTTCCCTTTTATATGGAATTATTATATTGCTTAAGAGTTCAAAAATTGCTTACTACTATTGTAAAGCTTATATTATACTAAAATCGACGTAATTCAATACTTCCTCAGCTAAATACTACAGAATATAATAATTATTAGAATGAATTAAAGTAATCAATATGTTGTATTTTTGAAACAAATATTACCTTAATAAACCGTTCTCAAACTTTAAATAGTTGTTAAACAAATTATCTTATACAAAATAAATAATAATAAAAAATAATGAAATATCTTATTCGCATCCATACGTATCATTTAAATTGTTTTAAAAAATTATTTTAAAAGTTACAATTTTCTAAATATCCCTTTAAAATATTAATTCATGTTTTTTAAATGTTTTATTTCTAAAATCATTATAATAGCTAACCAAGAGGATACAATAGTTTTGATTACTTTATACCTTGCTCATTAAAAATGTCCAAAATTAGCTAAAACTGGATTTGTGATATTTGGTACTAAGTATAAACATTAATAATTAGTCGATATATTATATTGTTAGTATCTATACATAAGAATAAGAGTATACTATTTTTAATAGCGTTAATTGTTTATAATAAATATTATAATAATAAAGTACAAATTAAATTTAAATAATTTGTGACATTGTAAAAATAATTAATTTTTCAACATTATACTGGTTGTAAGGGCTTTTTGAAGGATTCGACTCAAATAGTTGTAATTTTTCAAAAAGGGGTTAATAATAAATATATATATATATATATCAAGAGTCCAGCGGCGAAATATCCGGATCCGATCATAATATGATGACTAATATAAAATGATGACTACATTTTAAATAAATATATTATACTATAATAAATATACAAATAATTTTTTGACAAATTATTTCTATTATGGTGTAAAACATTTATATATCTTATTACATAATATAGTATGAATATTCAAATATAGTAGTTATAATATTAAAATAACTCTTAGGTTTATTGAATAGCTTTATAATTAATTGATGTTATTAAGAATTAGACACTTATCTTCTTAGAAATGTATACACAAATATAACATTTTTATCACTATTTATAAAAATTTCCTTTACATTGTATGCGTTCAAAACTTCCAATACTCGTATGTGAAAATTTAAACACGTTTTTTAAGAGTGTAACGTCGCAAGTTTACTTAGAGGAAAAAATTTCTTGACAAATACAATAAAAATAATTTATGAACCATTGAAACATATTCATATTACCTATGGTATTATTAAAACAAATCAATGATGAAGTTTTATTTTATTCTAAAACTTCAAACAATTTTATTACCCCAAATGATAGTTGGTAAAAAAAAAAATTATTTTTCCTGATATACCATAATAATAGCTACTTTTGCATAAATGTTAACGTTTATAATTTAACTTTTGAAAACATTCTGGAAATACTCCAATCAAACATATGTTAAATAATTTTTTTTTTTATTTGAATGCAAAAAAAAAAATTTCAACTTCATAGCTAGCTATCATTTTCTTCAGTGTCATTGGAGACACATTTTACTACAGCATAAAATGTTACATGTAAATGTAATGTTGTGTAAAAATGTGTAAGGGCCTACAATAATTTATTGCTCTAATATCTTTACAATAAGTTTATTCTGTATTTATTTGTAATCAAACAATAAAAACGCATTAATTTCATACATATTTTGTTAACCTACTAAAAAACTTTTGTAGTTTTTTGAAGAAAAATTAATCATACAAATTTTTTCTTAAATCACTTTTTATTTTATTAATTAATTTCCGAATTAGAAAAAGTCTGCTGACTTATATTATTTTTTAAAATCATTAATGTTATATTGATGAGTACCAATTTTTTTATTTTACTAAAATAAGGATTTTCAATATTCTCATTATAGTGGAAATTGTGCTGTCGTTTGAATATGAATTATTAAAAATTAAAAATTTGATTTAGTTTTAAGTAAAATGAATGGCATTGACCGCAATAACGAATATTTTTATAGTTAATGCATCAGACTAATCTAAAATGTTCAATCTTTTAGTAGGAATACTATTTCTTGGTTTTTATTGTTATTTTGAAGAATGGTCTACAATTTATTGTTTTTTTTATTCTCAGGAATACAATAGTTTATATTTAAAGGACATTAACCTAGTACAGAACATGTCTTTTATTGAAAAAACTATTATATTTCATATTACAGATTAAGTATAATAAATATTACAATGCATATTTTAGACTCTTTATAAGTATTATAAAATTCATAAAAAAATATAAAGCATATTATTATAATTATTAAATACCAAAATTTTTTTAGTTTGTTAAATGTTTAATTTTTCTTAAAAATAAAATTGTTTATAAATTATTTACAATTTATTCGATGGTTGAAAAAGTATCAAGAATCATTATTCTTTGAAAATGAGTCTTTTAAGAACGAAAACAGCATGAGTCATAATTTTTTTATTGTAAAAATTGAATTAAGAAAATAAATTTGAGAACAAAAATGTTGATGTTGGCGTAAAATTAAGGGTTAGTGACATTTTTACACACAATGTATCATTTAATTCGTGGGAATGTTAAATTAACTATCTTAATTTAAACTAGTTTTAAGTTTTTAACTAGTTTTACAGTATCCATAAAAAATTAAAAATATCTTTTAAAAATAAAATTCAACTTTTTACGCAGTTTTACAGTACTATTTTGAGGCACATCAAAATGTCTCGAGCGATTACAGAGTTTAGGTGATTGAGTAGTTGTAAAATTTTAATAGTATGTTGGTAACACTGCATTGATAACGTTTAACAGCGCGAAATTCCATTCTCTCAAATAACATTAACAGAACCAGTTGGCTCTGTCAGACAACGCTAGTAGCACCGGACACTGAATTTAATACAATAGTCAACACACCCAATATTGTTCAACATAGGTTCAAGAGCAAGAAAGAACGTTACAGAAATAAAATAGGTATGTGTCGTATTTTTTATAAAAAAATGTTTCTACCGTTATAGTTATATTGTATTATTAAACTTTTGATAATTATTATTTTTACTTAAAAGTTTAAGCTTATTAATGACTATTAAAATGGTATTTATTCGACCTTATATATTATTTAGTAATTTATTCTATTTTTTGTTACTTATGTATATAAATAATGTAATTAAATTTTAATTAGCCTATTTTATTATATAAGTTGCATTGTAACATTTTTAATATATCATTTAATATTAAATTATGTTATTACAGACATTGCAATTGTATAATGACTCTAGTCAAAACTTTTTGGACACCAATTGTGGTATATCCTGATGTTAAAACAGGATGTAAATTTGTTGCAGCTTACACTATAGTAAATATTATATTTTACTTTGTATTCATTCAATACATAAAACTTTGTGTGATATAATATTATTAATTTTTAGGCGATATCAATATTCTTAATGGCATTAATTGTTCATATGCAAAACGGAGGTGAATCTACACAAATGTATAATCCCTTTTTTGAAACAAACTTAAATGGTATGCATAAAAATATATTTGTTTTTCTTATTAAATTAAGTATATTTATATTTCAAATTTGACTAGTAATATATTATGCAAATTCTTATAGTATTACACTAACTTTTATATCTTAAACAGTTATAATAATACAATATTTATTATTGTAAGATTGAGACTTAGTGCTCTATGTTTTAAAGATAAATTCTTAAGTAAGAAGTTGTAAATTTTTTAAATCCATATCCAATTAAATACTATTATTATTTTATAATCATAATAAAAATTAAAAAAAATTCTTTTTCGAATTTTTAAGATATGTTATTAGAATTAATAGTGTTCAATTTTTTTTTTAGAATTAAATTCCTATGTTGTTTTTACACTACTTTTCTTGGCCTATATGATTGGTTCATCTTTATTGGTGTTGAAAGGATTAAAAAATAATTTGCGTGGTTTCTTATTGCCGTGGTTGATTGGAATGGGATTTGTTGTCATATTCCTGCTATTGTGGTCAATTTGGTTGCTGTACGGATATTACATCTATGTAAGTCTCATAATGTTTTAAAATTTTAGTCAAAATTATCGTAATGGAATACTGTGCTCTCCGTTTATATTAATTTACAATTTAAAGCTCACTCACTGTTTATTGTACTATTATTAACCATTATATTATAAAAATATTATCTTAGATACGTATTGTTTGTGCTGCTGTGATCTATTGGATTGTGGCTGCTATGCAGGTATGTTACAAATATTGAACTATTAATATTAAATTTGAAATTTTAATGACTATTATTTTTTATAGTTCTATTGTTGGTTATGTGTTTACACACAGTACAGAATTATCTATGAAATGCAATCTCCAAATATTGAACTCCTCATGTTTTAATTAAATTATACTATGATCAATTTTTAGACATCTTAGACTATTTTTATTTTTTTGTATACTGCTTTGAATTTTCTCAAAGGAAGTTTTCTTAAACTTATATGTGACATTTATATTCTTTTTGATAAATCACTTGTATCAAGACTGCCATTATTTTTAAGCCTATGAACATTCTTTTTATTGTTCATTGAATTAATAAACTAATTTATTCCGTCCTATTTTTCTCCCTAATTGTGCCTTAAAATAAATTGCTTAAAGCATTATAATTTAATTAAAAATATTTATTAAGTACCATTGTATTAATCACTATTGATATATCTAATATTTAGTATTCGTATTAAGTTCAAAAAATTAAAATATAAGTTATTTATTTTTTTTGTAATAAATTAGAGCCGTATTTTGTATATGTATGTATTATTTTTATAACCTTAATTGAATCTTTTGATAAATCAAAAATATTAGTTTGATTTACGTTATAAAAATAAACTATTATTACTGCTATTATCCTTTTTATAATTAATTTAGTAAAAAAAATGTTTAAATGAATATTATTAGATATAAGTGTATCTAAATTATCTATGAGTTTTATTAAAAAAATTATATAATATGCTTTTTACAACTAAATAAATTTACTATTTAATGTTACTTTGTTTATTTACAATAATATTACAACATTCTTTTAAGTTGTAATTTGTTTTTTATAAAATCAAAGTAGTGTTTCAGTTATAGTAACCTTTAATCACATTCTGTTAAAAAATAAAAGAACATTTTTATTTTATGCTTAGTTGGCTGAAGTTTGTTATTTCATCATAGTTCATCAATGATTCCAATTTATATAATTGTAATTCCTCCAGTAAATTATTGTTTTTTATTTTTAACCTAAATAATTTTTTGTGGTGAAGTACAGAACATCATTTATGGTATACAGGGTATACATTCATGTATCACAATGAATCTGTTATCATTTTTGACCTCTAATATTTTGATTGAGTCATCCATCATTTCATTTTGTAAATTCTTAAAGCTCTTAGTGTTTTCTAGATGCACCAAACAAAACAATTGGAACATCACAGGTGAAGCTTAATTTTAAATTATGATTATGTAATATAGTTTTAACTTCTTTTTTCACTTTGATTAGTTATGAGTTCAGATAAATTTTACTTGAAATTTTTTTTCTATTTAGTATTTAAATAGTTATTGTTTTTATTTTTATATGGCATCTGAATTATTTTACCACGAGTAATCTCCTTTTTATTAGTAAGTAGTTTAATGATATATATGAGATTTACATACTCGAGTTTACTACTTGTTTACCGTTCCTTATTCTTGTGGATAACGCCCCCTTCTATTCTATCATGAAATCAACCCATTAATTTTAATAAAAAAATGCAGGTCTTATGTTACATATAGCTTATGTTTTATTTTCCTTTAGATTTAAAGAATGCATCTTTAAAGTGAGTTATCACGTAGGTCATGGGCGTTAACCTTACTACATGTAATACATTTTTATAAGTAAAATATACTCTCGGGTTGTTCTAACATTAAGCATTGAACTCTTATATAAAACCGGAACAATTATTCATTAAATACATTTTATTTTTGTAGATTAAAAAATATTTTAATTTTTAGTTAATTTATATTATAACAATTGTCAATCCCAAAATAATGTTATTTGGTTTCCCAGGAAAAAGTACAATTTAAGTATCAATTCATAAGAATCGTCGCTAGTAAGACAAAACTATCTTAACGAACTACAATTAACTATAGGCGACCATGTACAGCCACCCTTGAAAATCACCAGCAAAACACTGGATGCCTTTTCTCAATCTTACAAGTTTTAAATTAAGTGATGAAGTACACTACTCAACCTGCCTTTGTTTCAGTAGACATCCGCTGTAGCATAAATGTTATCCCATAAATCATTGCGACTTGATTAAATTTATATGTTTAAAATGTTTGTATCAATCAGATGAACTGGAATTAGGAGTCATTTTGACATTAGTTGCAACTATTACAATGCACAGTTATCGCGATGTGTAATCGCATTTGCAATTGGTGTAAATACTGAACCGCCTAATCCTAATCGCGTTTGACACCAGACTTTACTTATAACTTGATTGAAATATGATTGCGACGAGCCGTTGGACACGGTCTCTGAATACTTGAAGTGTAAACTAGTGATGGGAAATATCAAATAGTAACTATCGAACTATTCGAATAGTTTTTTAAATGTTTGACGGTTTCAATAGTTAATTCAAATAGTTTCAATGGATTATGTATATTATTATATACAAATGTACCTGCATATATGCCTACAGTCAGGCCCGCATTTAGGGGGGGGGTATTGGGGCATTTGCCCCGGGCGGCAAATTTTGAAGGGCGGCAAAAATCTTAATAGGTATACAATTTTTAAAAATTAATTATTTTTATTTAATTTTAAATTTTTTCAAACAGAACAATTTATTTTTATGAAACAAAAATATCTATTTCTAAAAAAAAATATTACTTTATTATTTTCTAATTTAAAATGTGTACAAAGATATAAATGTAAAAGAAGATATATCAAAGCTGTATAACAACATAGACTACAGTTAGTAGTTAGATAATAGTATTGATTATACATAGTAATTTTTATAATCAACAGCACTATAAATAAAGTAGGCGGCAATTTATTTGATTCATGTTTTTATCTAATTTTAACAAAGTATTGATATTTTCTCCCTTAAACTGGTTTTATGGATGTCGTCGGCCGTTGATAGTCGATTATTATTGGAATACTAAGAAAGTTAAAACACAATAATTTGTCTCATTTTTCACAAAATTACTATCTAATAATGTCACACTAATAATGTGTTGTGTACAGACAGCTCATTGTGTTTAGTACTCGACTACAGGTGACCGAGTTAATATGTTGAGGTGTTTTTTTTTATTTGTATATTTTATTATTTATTAACGTATTAAAATGAGTGATGGCAGAAAACGTTTAAGTGGAAGTGCTTATGAAAAAGTTGCTAAATTAAAATTAGAAAAAGAACAAAAAGTCATTTTTCAAACCGCAAAATTAACTTCATTTTTTTGCAATCAATCTCCAATTCGCCTNCATTTTTTGGCAATCAATCTCCAATTCGCCAAGTGAAATAGAGACTACAGCTGAACAGATTTTAAATGAGTCTAGTGATAAAAAGTAATTTAAAAATCAAATGTTAACTTTTGTACGTTATTTCAGTTTTATATAAATGAAAAATTTTATAATTTTTTAGTAAACATCCTCTACATAGTACTTTTGAAACCATGGCAAATGAAAATCAATTAATTGAATATTCGGAATTACTAAATACGCCAACTAAAAAACCCAATCCAACACTTTTGAGGAGCGGCAAAATTAAGTGCACCGGGCGGCAAAATTCCTAAATGCGACCCTGCCTACAGTCCATTTTTTAAAATGATATAACTTCTGAAATACTAGTCCAAAAGTTGTTATCGATTATTTATTTTATCAGTAAGAATATTACCTAATATATAAGTTAATTAATTATGTGTTTTGCCATTTGAAGAAATAAAGTAAAATTGAACAAAATATTATTTTAGTTTACATTGTTGTTTGATTAACAAAATAAAAAACACTGGAAATAAAATATCAAAATCAAAAATAAGTAATACTTTTAGCTTCGATGCGAAGCTGAGAAGGTATTGGTTTTACTAAGATGTGTTTATTTTTTTTTTTTTGTGTCTGTTACCACTTTTTCTCAGCTCTCACCGAACCGATTTCTTTCAATGATACGTCAAAAGATCACAAATTGTATCTAGTCGAAGACATTACCCTCAAAAATTGAAAAAAATTCCCTCGTTCCCCGTAAATGGGGGAAACCTCCAAAAAAATTACGAATTAAAAAATCGCTAATTTTCGAAATTTTTTCAATTTTTTTTACTTAAAAGTGCCATAACTTTTTCAAAAATGAACATATCAATATAATTCTTTTTTATATAGATGCATAATATCATTACCTTTCATTTGGTATATTTTTTTCATAAATTTAACCCTTAACCTGCCCACAAGGGGGGATTTAAAATGACAACTTTTTCACAAAAAATTAATTTTTTTAACTTAAATTTTGAAAATGTTCCGGAAGGTCTGACACTTTTATATATATCTTAAATTAAAGCTAATGTAATATGCTTTATCATGAAAAAAAAAAATTTCGGACTTTATCTTATCTTCATGGTGAAAATGGCTACCGAATGCTATTTTTGTGTGAAAATTTTCGATTTTGTATTTTCCATTTTTAACTTTATTATGCTATAACTTTTTGAAAAATGTATGAATCATTACAATTTTTTTATGAGAAGTAGTATTTATATAGATCTTTCATTCGACATACTGTTTTTTTAAATCGGACCATTTCCCTAAATACAGGGGGGATTCAAAACATAAAAATGCATATAGAAAGTAGAACTTTTTCAACGTAACTTTTGAAAGTGTTCCGGAAGGTCTGACACTTTTATATATATCTTAAATTAAAGCTAATGTAATATACTTTATAATGGTAAAAAAAAATTTCGGACTTTATTTTATCTTCATGGTGAAAACAGACATCAAAGTTTATAAAAAAAATACGATTTTTGTAAAAAAATTCTTTTTTATATTTTTAACTTTATAATGCTATCACTTTTTGAAAGATGTATGGATCAATATAATTTTTTTTTATAGATGCATGATTTCTTTACCTATCATTTGAAATATATATATTTTTTTTATATCTGACCCTTTACCTGCCCTCAGAGGGGGATTTAAAATGACAACTTTTTCACAAAAAATTTACTTTTTCAACTTAAATTTTGAAAGTGTTCCGAAAGTCTGACACTTTTATACATATCTTAAATTAAAGCTAATGTAATTTACTTTATTATGAAAAAAAAAAAATTTCGGACTTTATCTTATCTTCATGGTGAAAANAAAAAAAAAAATTCGGACTTTATTTTATCTTCACGGTGAAAATGGCTACCGAATGCTATTATTGTATGAAAATTCTCGATTTTATTTTTTACATTTTTAACTTTATAATGCTATGACATATTGAAAACTGTATGGATCAACATTATTTTTTTATGAGAAATAATATTTTTTAATAATCCCTTTTTCATTCGACATACTTTATCATCTTAATTAGGATATTAATAACGAACTAGCAGATCATGTAGCTTTTGGAATAATCCACCAATTTTTTAAAATTAAACACTATCTAAAGATTTGCATCGAAGCGTTTTTTTTTTATAGTGATTTTAATCACTGTCAGATATCATAATACTTGATCCAACTGTGCCACGTCCTCACTGTGCCGCGACCCCCCTGTGCTGGGTTTTTTTAAAATACTGTTACAAAAATATATGATTATTTTTAGTAAAAAACAATAATAATTTTTTTTTAATTTGAAGTACAAAAATTTAGTTTAATTAAATTAATCTATTATGTCTGGTGCTAACTATTTGACTCTGATGGTACGACGTAGTCCGAATGCAAGATGCGATTTCGGACTGTGCCCCAAATTTATGATTATTATTTTTTCAAAATAATATTGGATCATCTTTTATGGTTAAAAATCAAGATATTGTCTACATAATGCTTTTGCTGAGAAAGTAGTTTGAGACCAAGTGTACAGACACATGTTTCTAAAAAATTTAGTAGATTTTCTTGGGGTATTGAATTCGATCTGCTATTAGATTCTAAAATTGTACTGTCTGGTATAATTTGTTCAGTTAGCGAAGGAGCTAAATTAAAAAATTAATTTTCATTAAATTAAATATAATAATAATAAATTGACAATAATTTAGAAAAAAATGCATGTTTTACGAATTGTATTTTATATGTTTTGATACTGTTGACATATTTAATTATGAAGACAATTGCAAATAATCATATTTTTATTTGAGAATTAACTCAAACATTTAGTCAATTTAGTAATAATATATATCTACATAAAATTTACCATGATTTTCTAGATAAACAAGATCTTTTTGTATTCACATTCAGCTCCATTAGCATTATCAATAGATATGAAAGCTGCTTTTTTAAATCGAGGATCTAGTATTGTCACTTTTGCGTACAAATGTGATGGATATTTTCCCTTTATATCTCCAAATTGTGTTTTTGTTTGTTCCATTAGAAAAAGTTTCCAGGAGATGTTGATGGATTTTTATTTCTAACTGATAATAGTAAACCTTTAAGAAAAAAATTAGAAGACATTATGAAATATTTGATAAATAAATTTATATCATTAGATTTTTATACATCATATAAAATCTTTAAACATACCTCTTATAAATGGAATTACTTTTCCTAAAATTGGTCGTTTATGATGATAGTTGTACTGTTAAACTTTCATAAGGTTTCTAAGTGTAACCAAATCATTTATAACTTTCCGCTGTTCATTTGTTGGTATATTAGGACAACGTGGTAAAGGCATCAAAACAGCATTAAATGTTCTTCAATCACTGAAAGACGTTCTAACATAATAAGTGTACTGTTCCGGCGAGTTGCGATATCTTTTTTTATTTTTAAAGTAGGACAATTAAGTTGTTCTTGTTTTCCGCGAAAAGTCTACTCGACACTTGGCTTTGTTTGAAATGTCCAACAATGGATCGACACATTTTTATTAGTTTCTTAATTTATACTTCATCAGTACGAGAAGCTGTAGTAGTGTCATTAAAATCATCAATAACTATGATTTTTAAAGCATTTTTTAACTTATGAGTAACGCATGGATCAAATCCGAGTAATCTAATTACAGTCTTTATATTCGCACCTGAGTCTGTTACAATCGCAACGACTTTTACTTCGAAAAAACCCAACCCAACTTATATCTGTTAAAACTTCAGACAAATAATGTGCTGTATGACTAGATTCTAGTTTTTTTGTAGCTAAAACATATGTTTTCACTTTGAAAAATGTGTATTCACTGTAATAAAAGAAACCGTATTTATAGAAGTCCAAAGTAAGCGCGACATATTTTGTAGATGACAACATAGATTGAACTATTTCACGTGTAGAGTTATGAAGATTAGGTATGGGTGTTGTTACTCAAATTATACTAGTTGGCAACTCTTACCGCGACTCGATAAGATTAATAAGTTTTTTAAATTCTCTATTTTTACAATCTATAACGGTTGCATATCTTAAGCAATCATCTCGACAACACCTTTATTGAATTCATTAACTTTGCCTTCCGACGGTAAGCTCAATCTATAGAACAACATGCTATTTGTATTTAAAAATAATTTTACATAATAACTTTTATAAATAGTATTATTACCTACGTATTTGTTAGTTTTAATTGTTTTGGTCTCCTTTGTTGAGTTTCCTGAGTTTGTTAATTTATTTGTTCACGCGCATTTAAATTCGTAGTTACCTTGAGAACACATTTAATAAATAAATACTTATAAACAATTTTTAGCTTCGATGCGAAGCTGAGAAGGTATTGGTTTTACTAAGATGTGTTTTTTTTTTTTTTTTTTGTGTCTGTTACCACTTTTTCTCAGCTCTCACCGAACCGATTTCTTTCAATGATACGTCAAAAGATCACAAATTGTATCTAGTCGAAGACATTACCCTCAAAAATTGAAAAAAATTCCCTCGTTCCCCGTAAATGGGGGAAACCTCCAAAAAAATTACGAATTTAAAAATCGCTAATTTTCGAAATTTTTTCAATTTTTTTTACTTAAAAGTGCCATAACTTTTTCAAAAATGAACATATCAATATAATTCTTTTTTATATAGATGCATAATATCATTACCTTTCATTTGGTATATTTTTTTCATAAATTTAACCCTTAACCTGCCCACAAGGGGGGATTTAAAATGACAACTTTTTCACAAAAAATTAATTTTTTTAACTTAAATTTTGAAAATGTTCCGGAAGGTCTGACACTTTTATATATATCTTAAATTAAAGCTAATGTAATATACTTTATTATGAAAAAAAAAAATTTCGGACTTTATCTTATCTTCATGGTGAAAATGGCTACCGAATGCTATTTTTGTGTGAAAATTTTCGATTTTGTATTTTCCATTTTTAACTTTATTATGCTATAACTTTTTGAAAAATGTATGAATCATTACAATTTTTTTATGAGAAGTAGTATTTATATAGATCTTTCATTCGACATACTGTTTTTTTAAATCGGACCATTTCCCTAAATACAGGGGGGATTCAAAACATAAAAATGCATATAGAAAGTAGAACTTTTTCAACGTAACTTTTGAAAGTGTTCCGGAAGGTCTGACACTTTTATATATATCTTAAATTAAAGCTAATGTAATATACTTTATAATGGTAAAAAAAAATTTCGGACTTTATTTTATCTTCATGGTGAAAACAGACATTAAACTTAATAAAAAAAATACGATTTTTGTAAAAAAATTCTTTTTTATATTTTTAACTTTATAATGCTATAACTTCTCGAAAGATGTATGGATCAATATAATTCTTTTTTTTGTAGATGCATGATGTCTTTACCTATCATTTGGTATATTTTTTTTATAAATCTGACTTTTTACCTGCCTACAGGGGGGGATTCAAAATGACAACTTTTTCACAAAAAATTGACTTTTTCAACTTAAATTTTGAAAGTGTTCCGGAAAGTCTGACACTTTTATATATATCTTAAATTAAAGCTAATGTAATATACTTTATCATGGAAAAAAAAAATTTCGGACTTTATTTTATCTTCAAGGTGAAAATGGCTACCAAATGCTATTATTGTGTGAAAATTCTCAATTTTATTTTTTACATTTTTAACATTATAATGCTATAACTTATTGAAAAGTGTATTGATCAATATAATTTTTTTATGGGAAATACTATTTTCTAATAATCTCTTTTTTATTCTACATACTTTGTCTTAATCAGGATATTAATAAGGAACTAGCAGTTTATGAAGCTTTTGGAATAATCCACCAATTTTTTAAAATTAAACACTATCTAAAGATTTGCATCGAAGCGTTTTTTTTTGATAGTGATTTTAATCACTGTCAGATATCATTATACTTGATCCAACTATGCCACGTCACCACTGTGCCGCGACCCCCCTGTGCTGGGTTTTTTTTTAATTTATCTCATTAATGATGTTTTTATAATATTATTACACAATGATAGTTGTATTGAAAAACACGTTTAGAAAAGACACGGGATTAATAATCGCGTTTTCTTTATATGATATTACATGATATTATTAGATCTAACGCGACTTGAATCGCATTAATGTAGTCAACACTGATTTTAATGGTAGAGACCGGTGGGCCGTTTATTAATAAGCAACAACAGATTATTTAAAAAAAACCCAAAAGACGAATACAGTTAACAATAATCTTCGCATAATATCGCTGGCGTCGGCGTTGTCCGGTATGATCCTCGGCGTCAAAAAGTTAGCAGCGTTGATGGCGACAGTGCAAATCGGTTTGTCGAGTCCGGTCGTGCGGCACGTCCACAGCCGATGGCGTACATTCTCGACGTTGTCACTTTGACAACGGGAAGAAGACTCAACGTATCACTTGCGTCGTCGGCCGTATGGAACTTGCTGGACTTTGCATCGTGGCGTATGGCACGCGGTGTTGGTCAGTTAAATATTCATAGTAAGGCGACGGTTGATAAAGATGGCACGAGTCGCGGGGCATCGTGTATCAAGAAGCGACGCGGGGCCGTGTCAGATTAATTAGTGATAATGAATATTTTTATTTTATTTCACTTGTTAAGGGCGATGACTATTCGTTAAAAACATTAATTTCAACTAGTTTTTTAGTTTGAGCTGATAATTTATATGTTTCTAACGCCGTAATATGTTTTTGGCGTAAATAATACCAAACATTTGACGTTTTATTTGTTTATTTTATTTGAAATTTGCACAATTTACAAAATAACTTGACCAGCAAATTTGGGATCCCTAACCACAAATGTCCATGCGTTCGAACGATTTTTTTTATACATTTTGTATATAGAAAATATAACACTGTTTGGGGCAAAAAAAATTTTTAATTTTCAATGATTAAAACTAATAAAAATACTTCACTTGATTGTGGAAAAAGGGCGGTATTTATTGTTCCCACTGTTACAAAGGTAAAAAATTTAAAACGCGCTGTCCACTTTGTCGGTGTTATGCCTTTGCAAGACAATAGATCACTCTCAATGTAGCATTACTATGCTGAGAACGGTGTACAAGGTTTCAAGTGTAAAATAAGACGTTAGTGTTTACGAATATTTCCGTGGAACATAAAATAAACATTTCCCATAAAACTGAAAAGATATTTTTGGCCATCGAAAAAAACAATTGTCGACCCATATTTGTCAGTTTTTACCAGTCACTAACTAAAAATAAATAAAATGGCAATTTTAAACTAATTCTATAATAATTTATTCTAAGTATTTATAATTATCTTCTTATTATAATTAAATGAACTTAATAAAAATGCTAGCTAGATCTATTGGAATATTTTTTAAAACTATTCGATAGTTCCATTTGAACGTTATACAAACTATTCGATAGTTTTTTAAATATTTGATAGTTTATCCTAAAAATAAACTGTTCAGTTGTATAAACTATTGTATTAATACAATATTAATTTTTGTATTAATTTTTTTTATAAAAACAATTCGAATAGTTATTGGATAGTTTCAAATATTCGAAATCACTAGTACAAACACAAACTTTAGTTTATATGAACTCCTAGTAATAAATTTTGACATTTCGTTAATCTTTTCAACGACATCATATCTCAAAATATTATATTTTTAAATTATAACTTTTATCGGAATGTCCTAAAAGATAAATATATTTCAGTAAAATCTTTATGTCTAAAATTATATTTAATTGTTTAGGAGCAGATTGAAGCAATTATTTTTAATATATTTTAAAGCATTTTATAAAAATTGATTTTCTGAAAAACCGAGTTTTTGACATAAGTTATCAGAGCTTATTTTATTTGAAAGTAAATCCGGCCACGTCTGTGTACCGAAGTTCGTTAAATTGTGTGCATTACTAATTGAGAATGAGAGAGTTATGCTCTCATCCCTTAAACTATAATCAGCTTTTGTTTTTCAAATGTAAGATCAATTTTTTTTACTATTGGGTTTGATTGAATACAAGATGAAAAAATGGACATTGTTTGTACAATAAGCAAACATAAATTGATAACGTACTTTCATATGCTCTCACAACCGTTTATTATATTGCTAAGAACCGATAGCGCTTATCTATTATGCTAATTATTTGATTTAATAAGTCCTCATTCTAAAATTTTTGACCAACTAAAATTTTGTGTAATATAATTTAACTATAATTTAAAAAAAGTTCATTTGGCTGACTTAAATAATTTGATATGAGTAAGCTACCCCTTTGCTCCCTTTAGATATACCCTTGTTAATGCTAAAAACTTATTAAAATATATTTTCTTTTTTAACAAGTTTTTATCTAACTGGATAGAAGTTCTTTTCTTTACTTTTCAACACTCTGATACAGGTATATTATTTATAATATCAAAATTAAAAACAAATTATTAGTGCTAAAATGCTAATTTTTTAGCTTCGATGCGAAGCTGAGAGGGTATTAATTTTACTATAATGTGTTTTTCAATGTTTATCGCCACTTTTATTCAGCTCTCACGTGACCGATTTCTTTTAATGATAAATCAAAAGATCACATATCGTATCTAGTTGAAGACATTGCCCTTGAAAAAATTTCACTCACTCTCTGTTAATGGGGGAAAACCCTAAAAAAGTTACAATTCTTAAAATCAGTAAATTTTGATATTTTTATTTTCTTATAACCTTTTTCAAAAATTAACAAATAAAAAAAATTTTTTTCTTAAAATTTCTTATAACTAACATAATTTTTTTTTTAATCGGACAAAGTCCCCTTATACAGATGATGTTTTAAACTTACGTATAAAAGTAGAACTTTCTCAACTTAACTTTTGAAAATACTGCGTCCCTTATACATGTTACGTACTATAAGTTAAAAAAAATAGGAAAAGCCTCGATGAACTATTTTTTATGCGCAAATGGATATCGTAGTTAAAAAAACATAGTATTTTTGTGTTGAAATTTTTTTTAAATTTGTACGTTTCCAAAGTCATGAAAAAAAGTTAGGGTTTCCACTTCCAATAAAATTCAATGTGAAATTGTCTTTTTGTACATTTTTTATTAAATTTCAATTATACACCGTTATTACTTTTTAAAAAATGCACAACTAGGCGATTATTTAATATTAAAATGCCTTAGGGTTCGCCATAGTAATGATGTCACCGATTTTCATAAAAGTTACATGAATATAACTTACATTGAATATAAAGTGTAAGTTATTTTGAATATTTTGTTTCGCTCAAGTTAAAAAAAACATGTTTGAATTTTTGAATAAGCTTAAATTGTCCCTTGTATCAATACATGCGATGTACTGGTACCCTGTCGCTAACATTTATGCCTTTCACGTTCGTGGTACGAGATTTGAATCCCATCCATTAATATGACTTTTTTTGTTTAATTCTTTTTGAGTTGGAAAAATATTTAAAATTCGTTTGATTTTTATCTCATTTAGATTTAATAACTTCAATGAGTATCAAGGACCCCAACGCTGTAGTTTCTCCTTGTAAGATGGAATTTCTTATTCATGTTAAAATTATCTACTATTCTATAATATTCCCAATTTTTAAGTAACATGTTAATTAATGAATAATTTCTAAAAAAATGATTTTGGGTTTCACCTGAATTTAGCAATGGATGTTTACAATTAAATTCATTTTTATAATACGGTCAATTGAGTAAATATTTTTCACAACTTTTTGATTGAATTTATTTGGTTTCGATACGAAACTAAGAAAAATTCTCAGCTTTCACTGGACCACTTTTAATTGAAATACGCCAAAAGAACTAGATTTTAATTTAAATGATCTTAAAGTTACTAAATATTGAAAAAAACCTTCATTTTAGAATTTTAGAAAATTTTCTACTATCACTAAAATGACACATTTTTTAATTATTATAGACCAAAATATACTTTGCTAAACTTTGCTTTTACGCTGATTCAAATCTGCAATTAGATTTTATTCATCGCCTTTACTTTAAGACTATTACTAATTTATAAAAACTAGTATTTACATTTAAAAATTTATAATAATGTTTAATATGTTTAAAATAATCTGTGTAAAATTTTGACTTGAAATGTAATTATTTTGTCCTTTAAAGTTGATTTTTATGAAGGTTTATAATTTAAAAATGTTTTTTCAGTTTTATTCATAATTATCAACAAATTATTTTCTGAAAAGTTTTGTATCAAGCCCTTCAACTTTTATATACGTAAGCCATAATAGTAACAACTACTTTATAATTTTTATCGTATGAATTACAATTTTAAATTGTCAAATATGAATTTAACAATATATTTAACTGTTATAATAAATATTTATTCGTTTATTATACTTATAATTAAAAAATTACTAATCAAGAATAATGAAGCGAATAGGAATTCATTTTTTTTTTTGAAATAATCCATTAATTTCTTAAAATTAAACACCATCTACAGATTTGCATCGAAGCGTTTCTTATGATAGTGATTTTATCACTGTCAGATATCATCTATACCTGTCCTAACTATGCCACGTCTACACTGTGTCTATGTTCATAAAACGATTGGACAAATATATTAAACTGTAAATATAAAAAATATAGCTTATATTCTAGGCGTTCTACCAGTATTCTAACCGAACCTTATAATTTCATCGCCCATCAACGCAAAATCTTACATTTTTCTAAAGAGTAAAGTGAGTTTTTATTCCACGTTAATTTGTAAGAACCTTTAATATATTTTCTAAAATTAATATTAAAAATGCCATAGAAATAAAAAACAATTGGGAAGCCATAGAAATGCACAAAATCAAAAGGGGAAGCCATAGAAACTCAAAAACATTAAGAAGCCATAGAAATACACAAAATTAAATGAGAATCCATAGAAATAAGAAAATATTAAGAAACCATAGTATAATTTTTTCAACGCAATTATTTTTCAAATTATGTGGAAAGCATAGTGATCTCATTACATTTAAGAAAATATAGTAATATTTGCGTAAAAATATTTTATTATAATAATAATTATTATTATCAAACATTGATTAATTTTTCAAAATAATGTAAATGAACACTTATGTTCAATTTAAATCTTACTAATAACTTTTTTTCATGTACAAAATATTGTTGGTTTACGGCACTTATGCTGTAAATTAAATCAAGTTCAATTAAACACCATAGTATTGATTTGTACTACGTCCGGAATAAGGTGATGAGCTTAACTTATTTCTATTTAATTAATAATTTTAAAAGTTAATAATATTAATTAATGATTATTTATAGTAAATTTCAAGTTTTTATTGTGAATACTTTCTCTAAGAGATTTAATTAAAGCCTAAAAGTATCTACTTTTCCCGCCCTTCCCTACATATAATGTATGCAAAATATAATTAAATAAATGAAGTAATTTGTACTTTTATTTTAATTCTTGTCTTTAAACGTCATAATTTGTGTTAATAAATCAAAAATAGGTTTATAATTTTAGATCAACAATCTGTTCTGTAAATTATAGTATAATGGCCGTAATGAAATTTTGTAACACACAAGAATATCGTCTTGAATATTAATATTTTAGTCTTGATATTTACTTACTTTTTTATTTTCAACTGACCAAATTTAATTATTTTCTTTTTGTCTTAAAATAGTATGAGTACCGCAGTTATGTTATTTTGGTGTTTCTAAGTCGACAAAACATAAATGTTTTTAATTTATTACATTATTTGTAATTAAAGAAACACTGCATAATTCGAGTAAACGAATTGTTAGTTTGGGATAAGTTAAGAGTATTAATTCTCATGAATGTTTATAGAGTTATATTTAACTCCACTGTGTTCAATATGGTCCAATATGTTCAAGCATTTTTTGTTTTGGTTCGACAACGCCCAACAAAAGGGTAACCGGCATTCTTAAAAATAATGAAGAAATAACGTTGGGAACGTCTGAACGCACATTATTTTTATGTACGTGTGTGTGTGTGTAGATGTCTCGACGTTACTACCGCCGTGTACCATATAACCGGTGTCGTTGGCGGCGCAGTGGTGGTGATGGTCATGTGCGTGCACTGCACACCATGCTGGATTCTACGTGAGTGTGTGTCTTAACGTGTGTGCGTACTGCGCGTATAGTGCATGCAGCAGCCACAGCACCACGGACAGTTATGTTACAAGTGAACCGCCGGGTTGTTTAGTCGACGTTCTCAGACGTCAATACAATAATTATCACTGTTCACGATTCATTTCGCACAAACAAAGTTGGAAGTTGTTGTTTCATGTTAAGCTTGTTGGTCGTTCCTCCTTTTGTTTTGTCGGTCATTGGCATTTTAAAGAGTAAGTACTAAACACACGAATATCGTTTACAACCTGTAGATCTTCTTCGCGCGTGACTTATGAGTACGTCTATTGCCACCACGAATATAAACGGCTTTTGTCGCTGTAAATTTTGGCCGGAAAGCCTCACGGACATGAGCTCGTGCTAATCGCTGGTCTATTTTTAATCACTTATCTTGAATTATCACCAATTAGCGATTCGAAAACAATATATGATCTTCGGGGCACTGCTCAAAATTAAGACTCCATAAGAGTATTTTGTGAACTCATCACACTGTTTTCAAACTGCTATAAAAGAATACAAAAATCTAATTTCAACGACACGTTTATGTTTTAGTGGTCTAATCTACTTTTTTGGTAATTACTACGGGGAAGCGTTTAATGTGTTTAAATGATGTATAAAATTTAGAAAGACAATTTAATTAAACTAAAACAAAAATATTCCTCACGTTTCAAGTATAATTAGCCGTAGGGCAAAAAATGCTTAAAATTTGAGTTGGCAATGTCTCAATTTAAATTTCACAATAAAATTATATTTTGTAATTTAGTGAATAAATGTCCGTTCTAAAATTACAACATGTAAAAAAGAAATTAAAGGAATATCTTTGATTAATTTTTGTATTCGAAATACTTACAAATATTAAAATCTTGAGCAATGTTTCTAATTCCTAAAAATCTGTGCTTGTCAATTAAGCACAAAACATTCATCTGGAAAAATTTCGTTAAAAACTCAATCCCTTATATTTTTAATATTATTGTTATGCGGATTAATTACAAAATTGTTTTGCAATAGCAGACATAATAAGTAGTATTAGTAAAAAATTAATAGTATAAATTTTATTTACATCTTTTATAAACACACGTTTACTAATGTTTACTTATTATACTTTGTAATTGTCCATGTGTTATGATTTCTTCTAACTTTATATAGTATATGCTTTCTAGACTTTGTGAGTAATAATATAGTCCAAGACTTAATGTTAAGTAAGCCCAAAATAGTACTCTTGACACGGCGACTATGAAAAAAATGAATAATTAATAAACTAAATTGTAAAGTTCGCAAAGTGCGATTTGTTGTAAAACGGTCTGCGAGGTTTTTGGATTCTGTTCAAAAGTAGTTAAATGTAAACAAAAAATGTCGTTATGTTTTAGTAAAAACTGTTACTCTCGCTGTTTTTAATTGATTGAGCTCACAAACACCTACTTTTTGTACATCGTCTATGAAGACTACACAGACGGGTCTTTAACCTGCCCACAAGCGGTTTTCACATAAAACAGCTGCAGATCAATTGCATCCACTGTACATATGTGCTTTCACCTATTTGTCATATTTGTGCTTGTTCTATACACACTAGCTAAACAATTTTGTCAATTTTTTACATTAATAGTTTAGAATTAATTCTATTTGTGCAAGAATAGTCAACAAAGTGAGATTCTTTTAAATAATATCGTTTGTTACCATTGTTTGGTAATTTGATACATGTATGGAAACTCTGTAGCAATCTGCTTTCTAATAACGCGAATTTCAGTTAGAATACTTGTTGATAATTCTCGTTTAAGACAACAGTATAACATTTCAAAAAAGGAAATAATACTTAACGATGAAAGTTATTTCAACGAAAAAAGTTGATGTCAAGAGAGGCGTCAAACATAGAATATCATCGTTAGTAGTGAAAGGTTTTAATTACTGCCTAGGGAACAATTAAATCGACGCAAAAGAAGGAAGTATAAGATTTTTATTCTCCATGTTTAATTCATAGGAAACCTCGCGCCAGGTTACTAAATACAATTTAATTATTTCTCAAGAAAATGTCGAGAAATAAAACTGATATCCTGTACAACCACATCAAATTATAATTTTAATTTAATAATAATAACGTTAGATAAGAAAATTGAATTGTGATTATTTTTCAACTTCAATGAGTATCGAATGAAATATTTATTCTAATTCACAATGGCAATGGAAATATTGTAAAACTTTTTTGAAGGATAATTGATTTTAGTTGCTGTTTAATCTTAAAAACTACCAAAATTTTTTATTAAATTTATTTTGGTTTACTTCATGAAATTAACAAATTTGTCTTAAAATGATCTCAAACACATTTCGGATGATTCGATCAATTTTCTTTTAATTAATTCATTTATAATAATTCCATGTATTAGGAAATTATCTAAAACTTCTTTGTAAAAATTCATCATTACTTTCTAGGTAGATATTTCTGTATTTGAGTGGAAAAAACGTCCATTATTGTTATTTTTTAGGATAAGCGAAAATTAATTTTTCGTCACTAATGCTAATTTAGAATAAAAAAATCCACATAAAAGCGTTGCGCGAATAAAACGAAGAAAAGTAAAAAGATACATAGCAGAATATCACATTAGATAACGTCTAAGAGTAAAATATTTCTTGGACCCTTCTGCTTCTCGGGTACAAATTTTAAATAGTAAAAAAAATGTCGATTTCGATGAAATTGGTGAAATATCTATCGACTTAAATGAATTTCTTTAAATATTAAGCAAGTAGTCGAATAGAAATGCTTGCAATTTTTTCCCCATAAAACCCTTGGGGTAGTTAATTTTACTAATGAATTAGCTTGAAAATCGCAAGGTTGCCAATTGGCCTGTCGTATTGTTAGAATTGTTTTCTTTGATATACTGTTTCACAGTCAGCTCATAATACATTATATCATTGAATCGTATCAATACATCTAGTCGCACCTTCCTATAGACTGCTATTGTGTTGTCAGTGTGCACGTTGTTATTATATTTTTGGTATTGTATCTGAGCACAATGCAATTATTATTCGTATCCCTGTACCCTTGACCGTTTTTTTGGCAAATGTCACTTTAGAACATTTTATCGATGAGAAAATGTGGTTCTGTCGAATTTTTCGGTTATGCCTAACCCAAATTAGGTTAATGATGACACGACACTGTACAAAATGGTCGTACCTGAAATTCAGCGCAGCCTCTCCAGTGGTCGTTCTAAACGGTTCGACTCGTACAAAGTCTCGTTTGAAAGCGTATGAATTATATTTTACTTGTCTCGGTGTTTAACAACTGCTCATTTGTCGACGTCTCCCAAACGTGAAAATCCGCTCGGAAGGCAATGCTGTTTATTCGAATCGCCATTAGGTCCCAGTAGAGTCACGTGTGCCCAATAACAGTTACGCGGAGTCTCTTACCAGTCACTGTTTCGACGGGTTATTTGCGGAACTAAATAAAACTGCCCAGTGGGCACTTGGCTATTCGATAAAAAATTGTGCGTTGTGCGCACAAACGAGTTCAATTGTTTTGTTTAGTTAATTACTATGTATTTTTTTCGTTCCGCAGGAATTTGCCCTTCGACGAACAGGAATGCAAGTGTAAAAGTCGCCAGTCCAGTTCGGTGCGTTTCGTAAACCGCGTTCTAAATATAAAGTGGTCAACGGGCGTTGTATTGTGGCGACTGAGATGGCTGCGACTCGTGTCGGAGGGACAAACCGCGGGGACGTCTCGCGACATGATGAGCACGAGGCGTAAATAATTGTAATAATAATAACGGAAAATTTAAGTTCTCTGCCGACGGCAAACGTCTCCCCCGACCGCACGCGGCCTCTTCGGACAGACAGCCACTTGTTTAGCTGGTGTCGCGTGTGCCTTGTCCTCCTCTCGCCTTGGGATCGCCGCAACTTTGTGTCGTACGCGAAAAATATAATTGTCTGGAGCGTTGCCCGAGCTGACAATGTACGCGATCGCTCGCTGTACACGTTTTGGCACCGCGAGATAATGAATATGTGATAACGGCCGAGCTCCACGGTCAATCGGCGGCAACGTTTGTGCACGTGAATTCTGCTGTCGACGATGACACACCACAGTAAGACATCACTGCTGGCGGCCAATACTGATTACGGTGTCAGCAACGCGTACGGCGGACAACCAACAGCCACTTGGATAAGGTAAGCGCGAAAACTCAACTGTTTTATTTATTTATTTGACGATTTTTCTTAGCTAACATTAGTAACGACATCACTAATCCTTTTATCGGTTAAAATATATATGTTTTAATTATTTTACATCGCAAATAGGGCTAGGAATTATACGCAATTATACATTTCGTTAAGTTACTCCGAACAAGCCATCAGCTAGTATACATTTTTATTAATTTACTAGAACACTTGATAATGTGTTCTTACTGAGGTTATAGTTTTTAAGGGGCGGTGTTTATTTCACTTGTAAAAATATTTCTTATATAACATAATTTGGGACCCTGCAAAGTAGCTCAAGTAAAATTTAAATACATTTAACTACTAATCGTCATAATATAGAAAAAACAGATTTTCTAAGTCGACTTCCAATATTGATATGACATTTTTTTTCAATTAGTTCTTCTATGGATGTCTTATTTTAGCTGCTTTTATCTACACCGATTTTCAATATAATTGACCTTCGTCAAGATTAAATAATATTATCCTATCCATTATATTAAAAATTTATGACAAAGAATATTTATAACAACTATATTGTAACATTTTGTGAAATGCATTGTTTACCATTGAAAATGTTATGCTATCGTCTTAAACATAACATCCATATTGTTTCAAAGATAATTCTTTTTATGTTTTATACACTTCCGAGTGAATAAAGAAACTATATGAAATTCGAATTTAATTATATTTTATGCATGCCAACTTTATAAGTGTATGTATTTCAGAAGTAATAACATTAGATATAGAACAACAAAAAGTATAAATATGCTTAGAGCATCTTGATATTTTTATGCTGATTTTATTATTTAGTGTACTCAAATAGAATGGAAATGATATAAAGAATTCAAAATTGCTTACATAAAACTTCGTAGTTTCTGTATTGCTACTTTGTTTATATTAAGTTATCTTAAATATTGCACATTTTTTCTTAACCTTGCATTTTTAAATATAATTAATAACTGGTGTTTTTTCACTACTTCGTATTTATGAGAGACTAATATTTTGACTAAAGAAATTCAATACTATTAATATTAAATTGCATTTTAACAAACTTAATAAGATACAACGCTTAAAAAAATAATGACCTAAACATGCATTTAAAAGAAGTTAAAACATTATTTTGATGCAAAATATAGAAAATATAATTTTGTCTTGTAATGAGTATGAATCAAATCAACAATATTATGTTTAAAAGTTAAGGCCATAATTGCATAGCGTTTTAAAATTTTTCATTATCTTCGATTTACGCGTTTGCATTTACTTTATTTTTTCAACATTTGACATAACAATATAGACTATATTTAAATTTATATTTATTTATTTTTAAATTTTTCTGAAATTATCCTCGTAAAACCAACATTTTACAAAATATGTTAATATTTAATGAAAAATAAAAAAATACCCAATCCAACACACTGATATTACAAAAAATCAACCTTTAATCATTATTAAAAAAAAAAACCAACTCGCAAATAAAGTAAAAACGTGAATTTTTGTAAGATATTTATCATTAAATACCCTCACAATTTATTTGAATTAAATCTAAAAATACCTGATTCAGTTGGAAGGTAACGTAACGAATGTATATTAAATTATTAAAGCGAATTATAATTATGACACAAATTTAAGGTATCTTTTTTATCATTGAATTAGGCATTTAAACATTATATTTTTTTTAATAATTATCCTTATTACAGGGAACTAGATGATTTTTTCAATTTATGATATTGACAATTTCGATTTAGAAATTATTTTTAGTAATTTTATTTAAGTTAAAGTTGAGTATGCATGAACGTAACAAATTATAGAATCAGAACTTTTGAGTTGTCAAATTGTAATTTTTTTTATAAATAATTGTAATTTAAGTATAATTTTCTTTTAACAATCTATTTATTCAAGAAAACTAATGTAACTCACTTACGGTTATGTATTAATATAAATTTTATCATTTGCTATTTACAGCTGACAACTTTTTTTTTCCAAATAAAAAATAAATATACCATGTAGATTTAAATCGTAGTAAAGAGCTATTTAACAAATTTTCTCATACAATTGATCTGTATTAGTGCTCAAGGATCAATTGAAGAGCTTAGTGCAATCATTTAAGTCCATTGTTTTTAAATATTTTAGTAGAAGCGATTTTATCAAAATGTTTTCATTAAGAGTAATGGAAAATTGTTTTTGTACTGACTTACCAATAAAATTATATTTATTAAAAATGTACAAAAAGTTATCTGGCTGTTGCATTAAGCTCTTCTATTATTTGTATGTTTGATGTGACGTCTCAATACTGCATCCATTAATTATGCCCTTGATCTGTTAATAAACATAAACAAACATATAAATTAAAAGTCTAATGTGCTTATAAGTTACGGTAATTGTTATGGTTGTTCTACAGTGTTCATATTTATTATTGAACATCCAACACAGATTATTGTTGATCAAATTATTCATCAAATATCTATACATAAAATGTAATAGTTAATATTCTAATAAAATATTAAAATTAAAAAATGAAGTACATACTTGTTTGATGAAGACCAAATAAACAAACAAACAACAAAAAACGATTATAAACTTATTTAACACGTAGAAAGATTTAGATCTTTTTTCTTTAGTGTTCGGATTTCAGCAATTACAATAATTGTTGTTATTACAGTCATATATCAATAAATTTTATCATAAGTTGGCCTAGATGTGGCTGAAGTACGATTTATACCTAGGGTGACTTATAATTTATTTTAATGAATTTCAATTTTTATAAATAAAATTTATGTTATTTTATTATCATATTTATTAATTACATAGCATAATTACGGGGGCTGCGGAAAAATAACTATCGACCACAGTACCCTTCTTTAAATGTTGATGTGAAATGAATCGATTACTTTATTAGGTTATTAAATATTAAATAAATAAATTTATTAAAGATACATAATATAGAAGGTGACTGAAATTATTACACTACAACAAAATGTATATACATTATAAATTTTCAAAATTTAATTTTTATTTTTTATAAATATAAGTAAAATAATTAAATAAAAATTAAATAACTTATAATTTAAAATGTTCTAGGCAACCTCAATATTTCAGCATTGGTTCAGTAAGAGTTCGATTTGGTCCTATTACAGCTAAAAATGATGTAATTGTGGCGCCATCTATTAATGATTATCAAAATAATGCGGACACCAAAGATTCATCTTGTTGCTGCGGAGTAACATCCAGAATCCCACTTCCGACTGGTTCTAAAAATAGACAAACTACTGGCGCTACTTGTCTGGCCCGAATACAGGCGCCAGTATATCGCAGCTCTTTGGATTGGTCTAACCGTGTTCAAAAACCGTCCGGTTGTTTCGGAAAGCTAACTGTTGATCGTGTACCGTTGGTCACAAAAGCTCGCGAAGATATTATTGGTACACCATCTCAAGATCAAGAAACCACTACTCTGGATCGATTCCAAAAGTTTCGTTTCGGCGGTCGCAACGGCAGAAGTGGCGCCCAAAACAAAAAAAATAAACAATACGTTGTTCCTAGGACCACAGATAAAACTGACAGGCTAAGGAAGTTAACGGATAAACTAAAGCAGCCTCCGGCAGGCGAAGTACAAGCACTACTATCCAAAGTATCCAATGATGAAAACTCAATGGGGGGTCAATCCACTTCTACTGCCAATTTGAGTGGTGAAGAGTCATCGGATACATTTGAAGATGGTATCAGAAAACCTGAATCAAGAACGATAGTGGGTTCCTATTATCAACGATCAATACCATTTAGAAGTGCATCTTTTTCACAAGTGTATTACTCTCCAACGGATGGAAAGTATATAAGGGCTGATGGACGAAAGAAGAGTACGCCAAGTTCAGCATCTCTTTCACGAAAAACTCTCTCATCCGAACCTACCAGAGCATATTCTCAAGATAACGTTGAAGTAGTTGTACCTACTCCACCAATAAGAAAAAATAAATCTATTAAATCAGATCCAGGTAATCAGTCGGACGTACCAATTATTGAGGAGTCTTTTGAATTATCAGTACAAGAAGAACCTGAGGAACATGACGGACTGAGAGAAAAAACTTATTTGTCAGAGTGGAAATCCACGACAGAATCTCCTGAAGGTATAGTTTTAAATTGTGAGAGGAGTTTACCTGCCTCACCTGTTGAATCTCCCAAAGAAGAACCGCTTAGCGTAAAATATTCACAAATGCCTCAATGGTCATCACTGACAGAATTGCCACTATTACGTCCAAAATTGTCGGCTCAAAGCTCTGAAGAAAAGGAAGAGGATAAAATATCATGTCCATCCCCAAAAATTAACTATCGACAATTCCTATTGAGTAAAGCTGACTCTTTCTCTGAAGGAGATAGTGATCAAGGTAATCAAAGTCAGGTTACTTCATCTACAAGAGAATACACATCGTCACCATGTAACGATAATTCTGATTCAGAAAAGAGTCCTGGCCCTCCAGTGCCTTATACTAAACGGCCTCTCCGAGGACCGTATTTAGAAATGATAGTTAATGAGAAAAAAAAACCTGAAGTTAATGGAAAAAAACAAAATGATTTGAACTTTCTAGAAGAATTTTCTCAAACTGCACAGACTTTAGATGATTGCCCTTTAAAAAGGAGTAATACATCACCTGAACAACCCGAAAGATTGAGACTAAGGACATCGCCTAAGAGAAAGATAAGTACAAATTTACCTATATCGTTTGCAGCGTTAAAAAAGAATGGAACAAATGATACGATTGTTCATCATCAAAGAACAACTTCAAGTCCTAGTCAACTGGAGGGTTGTGCTAGAGTAAACAAAACTCCAGAACCAAGTCCTCAATTATTAGCTCAGTTACTAAAAGGCAGTTCAGAAAAAGTTTATGGTGGACCCTTAACTAATCCAATGAAGGTAAATACTTTTATAATAGTAACTTCTTCTAATTTTACTATATTTTAAACTATGCAAAATAAGAACTATAAAAATAAGTGAATTAAAAAGAAATGCGTAATTGTAAAAATTAGACATTTTTTGAAAAAAAATTTGGCTTTAAAACTTCTTTTTATATATATTAATTTGTCACACCTATTTTAAGTTCACTTAAATATCATAACATAAAATAAAGGGAAAATACAAAAGCTTTCATTCTTGACTAAAAAATATAATTCAGTTTATATTAAAATTCAGAAAATGTGTAATTCTATTTTGAATACAGGTTTTTAAAAAACATTTCATCTAGAATTAACAAAAGCACGTGTCGAGTCTGTTTTACTAAGTGTGCACATTTACTATTTTAGTATGATTCATGAAATGATAATACATTTAAAATTCATCAAACATTAAAATTATTAATTAATAAAAATATACATATTAACAATATAATTTTTGAAATTGTATCTTTATTTTTTTATTTGACCATGAAATTAACCATTTAAAAAACACGCCGTAAAAATTAAGGAGCTTTTTATAATATTAATATTTAATAAAATTCCTCTTTAATAAAATAAAATTTATGAAAAGTTTTGTTTATAAATTTATTGAATACGATCTTGTTTTATGTCTTTCATATAAAAGAATTTTATAATACTATTCTTTTAAGTAGATAATTAAATATATAGATATATGTCTTAATAATTAGTTATTATTGATTAATAAAACAAACTTTACTCTTGTATCAGATTTTTTATATTAAAATATAGTTTTAATTAAACTCGTATAAAAATAAATTTGTATTTAAGTAAATTAAATAGAAGTTTTGATGAAGTGAGATTTCATTTTCTTATAACATTAAATAGAATATGTTTTATTGTGCTTTACTATTGTCATATTAGATATAACGAATTTAATGCACAATTAACTATAAAACTCGCTTTAATTCATTTATTAAAAACAAAATTAAAACGCAAATATTTGTGTATTGCTATTATACAATCTATAGAAATATGAGAAGTCGATAAACTTATGTTTTCAATCATAAGACTAAAAACTTTATCAAAGATTTTGGACGTGTTAAATTTCTTATGCTGAAACTTTACAAAAACTGCTGAATATAAAACGCAACTTATTATTTTACAAAGCATTTGGGACAAGGTTTTCTTTATGTAATAATACGTTGAATTTCTTTTTAATAAATTTCTCTGAATTAAGTGCTTGTTTTGTTCGCTGTTAAGTACTGAGAAAACATTATATTGTCATCAAAAAAGTTGACTAGATTGTAATTAATTATTTCTTTTAAATTTCAACCAAAGTTTTATGATACACACATTATGTCATAAATTGTTTAAGGGTAAAAAACCTTGCATGGTTTATGATCGAAAACTCTAAGAAATGTATGGCTTTAAAAATATTCGTCTTTGAAAAAAAATAATTAATTAAAATTATAAACATCTAAGGTCGCTGACTAATGCAGTTAGCTTATCACATCGACATAGTTTTAGTGCTAATTTTAATTTTCTGTGTCGACTGGAAGCTGTCATGGTCTTATACATGGGCCACAGAAATATTTTCTCACTGCAGAGCAATTTGGTAATTGTTAGTGAGTTCTTGACAAATTTTGAACATCCATCGAGTGACAAATGAGACAACATTAATAATTGATAAAATATTGCTATACATTCATGTAAATGTTATTTTCACACTAGTCTACAAATTAATTTTAATACATTCCTTGAACTAAACTATACTATACTACTAGGAAAAATCATTTCGACTGAAAATATCTAAGTAATAACATTTTTATGTTAATTGAGTTTTGGTTAGTTGAGGTTGGACGTATGATGTTTGAATAAATTTGACAAATGTTTTATTAATTCGATTTAAAATTACATCGAGAAAATTTGCTTGTTATTCAATAATTTGTTTCGTTTTCTAATGTATTCTATTTGAATACATTCTTACGTCGTGTTACATGAACATTTGTATTCACTTTCACGTAATGTAACCTTACAGTCCTCTGGAACATTAATAATTAATTAAATTTTAAATATATTATACGTGTTTGTAAAACACTTTATTAAATTATTGAATTTTTAAAAATTTAAATAATAATAAAAAATGTATAAATAAACGTTAAACTTGTTTATACAAATATGTACTTATTATAAATCTTTGTGATGGTTATTTCTTTGTTGATTAAAACTAAAAATGAGTATTTAAGACATTTTTTAGTAAAAAATCTAGATGGTGTAATTATAAAAATCTAAAATTCCCAATTAATCACGTATACAGGCTGTGTTGTATTACTCACATTGCTTAAATGGAATATTATTTATTTTTATTGTAATACACATTGTCGCGATATTCTTTAGCCTTCTTCAAGGGTCACAGACGTACCATTTCATTTCTCGGCCCAGACAGTGCATCAAAAATAGCAACACTGTGAAGTTTGTGTGTGTGCGAGAATCATCGCCAAAGCAACTGCGGCCATTGCCATACGCTCACGAATATGAAGATTCAGTCTACTCGAAAAATTATGTCATAATGTTTGTTCACTAATTGCTAATTGCAATTACTCAGCGTAAACAAATTAAACGTACCCTTAAACTACACTCGCCATTTTGTTATTTGTCCCCCACACGCATCGGGTAATACATTAGATTATCGAACATATTAAACCCACAAACACATTGTTATTATACTCGCTTGTTGTGTCGCGTGGGAAACTTTATCTCAACGCGACTTTTCAATAAACAATTTATGTGAACTTGAGAAATCGTATCGCCTACGATTTTACGCTTAAAATAAAGCATGAGCATTGTTGTTTTAAATTAATTTAAATGTTCTTAACTGACTTTTCTCGACAAATTGTCAGTTGTTTAAGTTGTTTAGATGAGGCAAACATCGTTTTGCTACGATGTTTGCATTTTCGACGACAATTTTGAATTGAAAATCATTCTGATTATATTTTGAATTAAAATACACAAGAATAATTTTTATTGACAATAAATGTATTTACAAAAGTAACATAGTAATAAATGTCAGAGTTAAATAAATAACTATTAAAAGGAATTACTTATTTTTTGATTTTATTTTTTAGTGTTTTTTTTTTTGTATAATTATGATTAGTCGAGTTTCTATGACTATAAATTAACATTCTAATTGTAAGCACAACATGTTGGTATTCTATAGATTGTTGTTATTCTACAATATAACTATTGTTAATGACACACAATGTTCTTTGATATTATTCTATTTACTATATCACATATGACGTTTAATCTTCTTCTGTTTGAGAGTGTATTTCAAAATAATGTTTTGGCACACAAAGTAAAACAATTATTTAAATGTGTTATGACTAATCAAATCACTCGAATGTCAAAACTTAAGACATTTAAAGCTACTCATTCTTTATCTTCAAATTTTTCGTTCTATTTATTTTCTACAAATAGTATTAAATTGATTTGTTATTCAGTCAGCGCTTATTAAAATATTGTCAAAATATTAATGTAATCTTTGCATTAGCAGGGGTTGAAACCGTTAAAAAGACAAAAAAAAACCAATAATAGTTTTTAGGAAACATTGGTAACCGGTTTCATGTCTTGTTGTCTATTCTATAGGGATTTCCACTAACTTTATGTTTTAAACATCGTTAATATGTGTGTTTGCAAAATATTCTCGGAAAGTTAAAAAAAAATTCACTTTCTCATTTTAGATCTTTCAATTTTCATTTATATCGATAAATTCACCGTTTATAGAATTTCTTTAATTTCTGGATAAATTATTATGGGGAATAATAAAAACATCATCACAAAGTCTGATATCCCCCAGCTGTCCTAGGCAAAAAATATAAACAGAATGTATAAACAACCAGATAAAATTTGTTTTTTAACTTGACAAATGAGTTGACCTTGATTTTAAGATTTTTTAGTGAATTTTTTTTCGCCAAAATTATAAAAAGCTACCCACGTGGGTGCGTCTCAGAAAATTTAGTCGTACAAATTTAAAAATAAACGTACAGAGAGTCTCCCAATTTTTTCTAGACTGACCTTTGGATGTAGGTGGTTGATAAGAACAAACGGTTCAGTTATAATAGGTTTTTTTACGTGCACAGCATTTGACGAAGGTGGCCGTGATCCAAAGGGAAATGGCGCGCGTGCGGGACAACAGGTAACGCGTATCGCGCGGACCGAGCGGTTGGTTCTTGGAAGTGAAAAGTGGGTCGGCGGGCGAGGGACGAACGGCGCAGGGTGGAGGAGACGACAGCAGGACAAAAGCGGGAAAGAGTCCTTGAGTGTGATTTTCCGGCTATTCTTTCTGGTATCCATAGCAACGCGTTGAACGTCGCGACGTATATAAATCCCAGGGTACACTATAATGTATAATAGCCCGTCAGAGTCCCGTCATATCTCGTGTGTATTTAACGTGACGCAAATCGTCGTTCGGCTGCCGGTAGCCGGCGGTGGTCAAGTTTCGACCTTGGTACTACAGGCACGACAACTGCAACGGCGGCCGCTCATCCTTTACCGGCGCCAGGAAAACCGTTGTGCCGTTTGGTCCCGGCGCCCGATGAGATCTAGTCGAAAATCGGGCCAACATGAGTGATGTCTGCGAACGACGTTGACGAGCCACCGCGAAACGACGCAGAAGACCTGTTGGCCGCACTGAAAGCGGCCACAACGGTAAGCATTAACTATAGTGACTCTGTCCCGGCCAGTGATCAATTGAACTTTAACGTTCGGATGGTAATACGCGTATGCTCATGAACGATACACACTTTCAGATAGAATTTATTCAGTAGTTTGTTTTTTTAGCAAACGTAAAAAATTGTAATAAATACGACCAACATGCACAACAGAAACTTTGTAAATATGTTTCATGATTAATGTCGCACGACATAGTGGTGGTCTGTAAATACATCATTTGCATGCATTGTTTGAACCAGAAATCAAATCATCTGAGAGGAAGTAAAACTTTTAGCATATAAATGAAAATCAAGTGATATAATAGGTTTTAGTAACTAAAGAGAGAAAAAAATTAATATTTTTGGTAATATCCAGTAATTATTCTAAAAACGAAAAAGTCCATAAAATGCTTAAAATAAGGTCGAAGCCATTGCGATTAAAGTTGGTCATTATTTTATGATTAAATTTAATTAAAAACATTATCCCTTAAGCTGGACTCTTTGACATTTTTAACTATGAATATTCGATTAAATATTTATGCAAAACTTATTAGAGCAGCGTTATTTAACAGCGCAACACTACCGTTGAAGGGGTGAATTTTTTTTATGCGTTTATTATTTCCGTCTGAGTAATGATTGCTGTATGGTTTTGTCTTACCTTCGTCATATGCTTACACAGCTTCCTTGTGTTCGTCAATAGAAAATTTGTTCGCCATAAACTAGTAGGTTTCAGAAAATAATATCTCATTATCTGTATACTCTTGATGGATTCCTCCGCTGACTCGGTAAAAATGGATTTTTCTATTCATAAAATATTGTATACGCTAATAGAGTACATAATATAATATGTGATGCATACACCCGAAAGTATAATCCACAGACATATGAAAAGCAGCACGTAGTACATTTCCATAATGTAATATCCATGTATGCATATCAGCTTTATTTTGTATAAACCGTTTTATACTTGCAGTAGTACATACGAGATAAAAACAAATTTTATATTTAGTTGACTTTTTTTCATTCTATTTAATATATATTTGTCTTCACGTTGAAATAATTGTTTTTCTGAAACAATAATTATGTTGAATAAAAAAAAAATAGTAATAATATGTGTTTTAAATTATAAAATAATACGTAATCTCGAAACAATAAAAGTATTCGACTAAATTGTTCTGCACGAAAACATTGTTAAATCGATTGTGGAATCACTTAAAATGTTAAATGGCTATGTAAATCTTTATCTAAATTGATGTCGCATACGTGCGCAAAATGTTTTAGTTGTTTGACGCCCAAGGAAATCTTATTTTGTACGAGTCGCAGAAAAATCGTGTCAGTTGAATGATTTGTTTTAGGATAAGCGGATACTTTCAATAAGTTTAACATAGTTTTATTATAGTTTGACTGGGACGATGCACACAGTATGGGATTTATTTTAGCCATGTTTTATTTTACCTACGGTTGGGTTGTGGTGGTGCAAATGACGTGGTGTATGGCCCGAGGAATACGTGACGGCAATATTATCGCGGACGTCATTTTCGCCGCCATACGTACGCAATTCGCCGAGAAGTCGCCAAAAAATACATTTTTCTTACCACTGAAAATAACGGAAAAATTCATTGTCCGTAGCTAAGAGCAATATTGTTTTTCGCGGCAAACTCAATCAGTTAATTAATTTACGTTTTTATTTCAGGATACTAGAACACATGTAGTTGTCGAGCTTTACGATACGGAACGGTCATACGTAGAATCCTTACAAACTTTAGTTAATGTAAGTACCGCAACAAATTTTATGGTTATTGCATAATTCTTATTATAGTTTAAGATTGTAGTTATAAGGCTTCAATAGTAAACAACAGTGAAAACAACATAAAGTTTTTAATTATAATGGAACCAATAGTATTAAAGTTATAAATACAAGTAGAATGGCTTTAAGATAGAGAGGTATTATTGGTATTGAAATAATGTTATATAGTACATGTACTTATAGAAACTTAATTAAAAATAACCGAATGACACATATTTAAATGTCCGAGACCAAGGGGTGGAACCTTTGAGATTTTTAGGAGCCGGTTTTAAAGAGGTTCTGAATATAAAAAATTAAGTTTACAAGCTCAGATTTCATTAGGGGCTTATAAACTTTTTTTTTTAAGGATTCCGGTTATTAACTGGTTTTAAAAGAGTTCTAGGCAAAAAAAAAATACAAGTTAATATTTTTATAGGATAGGTAATCTTTCATTAATTCATTCGGGTCTTTGAAACGAATGATTTGAAGTTCCAGATAGGTTTCTTCAAAAACGCGTTTGAACTGGTTCTTCAAGGTACTTTTTTAAAAGGCTCCAACCCCTGAAGACCAATCGGACAACATTAGAGAAACATAAATTAACGAAAAATTCTATGGCGTAAAAATTATTGAAATCTATCTGATAACTTTCTACCATTTATTATCTCGCTCCTAATTCACAACATCACAAAATTATTTCATTTATTTGTGTTAGAATGTAAATAAAATATCTATAAACAAATATTTATTTTTTATGTTAAAACATCCAATTATAAAATAAAGATCAATCAAAATAATAAACTCGTACCTACCTAGTTTTCTTGTTTTAAACAAAATATTCTGATCAGTTTTGTGTACACTGCACCCAGAGAAAAACCTCGATCTATATAATAAATTCATTGTTCAATTTGATAAATATATCATTAATATTGAAACTATGATATATTTATCAATATGATAATTTTTTTTCTTGTCTTGAACAATAATTATTTATAAGAATAATTATTTTGTTCGTATTAATAAAACATTATCATAAACCCTTGATAAAATTTCTCTATCAAAATTGATTGAGGTTTTTCTTTGGGTGTGTGCAGCGAACGCAAACCTGTTTTATAAAATTATAAGATTTCATATGCGTCGGGTTGGCTTAGCTCCCTAGTTTGTAGCTTTGGTCTCCGAGAATTTAGCAAAATTATATGCATTGTTTTTTAAAAACTAAAAAGGGGAAAAAATGTAATTTAGCCTCCCCAAAATTGATCACTCTACGCCTAAAACCTCCCCGGCACATCGGTTCCAGCTATGGCCTTGGTTAATTCTTATCTATTGGTATTATGTAGACTTTTACGAAACTCTAGGATACACATATATTTTTAATATAAAGGTCACTGATGATTAATAACTGTTATTAAGGAATGTCACAACAAATACATTTTCAGTGCGTTTAATATTAATTTCAAATAAAAATAAACTTTTTATTTTTTCAAAAGTTCATAATTTTAATAATGTAAAAGCGCTCATGTGTTTGGCAAACATAGACAATTTCTTTCGGTTACGAAGGACGTACTTTGAGACTGAATTAATGAATTTAATTAAATAAGTAACTCGATTTTTTCACACTAGATTTAAACTTACAAAATTCATCGTATATTATATACGATTCTATATTGGCTAGGTTGTTTATAAAGTCATGATGATAAATGTATTAAAGTCGGTTTAATTGTGTTTACACAGATATTTAATAACGTTATGTTAAATATTTCTTGTAATTTATGGGACGAAAACGCTGTTCTATAGAGAAAGTTTTGAAGACTTTGGCTAAAGTACTTTTTCAATACACTTTGTCCAAACTATTATATCTTACACGTCAATTCAAATAAGTCACGCGTCGTTTGGTTAATCGGAATCCTAAGCACTCTTCTAATATTTTGACTGTGCACAATTAATATGTTTATATGTCTTTTGGTAGTGTTTCAGAACACTAAAATATAGTGAATAATTTAACTGTTAAGAAACAAATGTTAAAATTTAAACTCTTTTTACTCATCAAGCATCATTATAATTTATCATCAATCACATCTAAACGTAATCAACAAATCATGTTCTTAAAATCAATAATGTTAAATTACTGACTTAGGTGTTTCATGTAAAATATCAACAGACTAAGTAATCATATTAGTTTTTTTTTTTAAACGTCATTGACATTTTCAGTTACATAATGTTATGTTTTTGGAATCATATCAAATTTTAACGGACACATCAATAACAATATTATTTTCCAAGTCTTATTATGTCCAAAAGACTGATGGGCGGATGTTGTGCGCATTGGTGAGAGCAAATACAGTAGTCAGAGTAGTTGTCTACTTTTTTAAGTCGTACATCACGAGCAGAACGTGTTTTCCGGGATGCAAAATTTGATATAGCGACTTTTGTCATCTCCGACTTAATAATACACTCATACTCAAATTAATGGTTTGCATGTATTTTTTTGCCATACTCACAGAGGCGATAAAATCTTCAACAAAAATACTGCAAACTTGACAGCTTCGCCGTCGTTTGATAGTCGCATATAAAACCATCGTGATGATATTATTATTATCATGATAATGATGTGGCGCCTCATCACGGACTCTACTATGTCTGTATATGTTGGCGTCAACTATTTCTAGACCACCAACTCTTGTAAAACTGCTTTTTACAACCGACCTTCGTGTTGAAGAACAACTCGACAATAGGCTTCGTTACCACAATTGTTTAACTGTTTGGAATTCAATCGATTTAAAATCATTTTTACTTGTGCAATTCATAATTGTTATTAAACGTTATTTTACGGATAAATAATAAATATATAATGTGATATGGACAATTATTAAGATAAATAGTTCTTTAGTTATATCACATGAATTAACCTGGATGGATTCATTTAAATTTAAAATGTGTCTACTAAAAAAACTAAAAATATTAACGATACATTTTTAACGCAGTTATTATCAACTATTCAATAAAAAGGTCTATTATATCACAACAGTTATAACTATTGTTAATAGTGTAAATATTTATTTTTGTTTGTTAAAAAATTGTTGCGTTTTTTGAATTGTAATTTAGTATTTGAAACTCGATTCAATTCATAATTTCATTAATGAATGCCATCTATAGAAAAATATAGACTTTAATTTTATTATCTATTACACCGTCATACATTAAATAAACTGATCTATAGTGTAATATATTGATAATACCTATAACGCCTATTAATTCCGAGTCTAAATTAAGGCAGTCAACAGTTTCTAGTGACATTGGCATTATGATTTTTGTGCAATCTGTACATCACAGCAATCCAATCCTATTCATAATTTAATAATATCAACATCAAAATTTATATATTTATATATTTGCCAAACTCTTCGTCAATCATACACTTTTATATTGATCGCCAATAAGTATTAATAATGTTTAACAAAGTTAATTTTACGAATATATCGTTTTTATCAAAATTCTGAATCCTTATGAAGATTTATATTATTCCTATAATATTAAATTACGGGCTACTTGAAAGTCTGTCATGTATGATCAATCATTTTTGTACTAAATACTATATTGCATTAGTATGTTTACAAAATACACGTGTGTGTGTACTGTGATTTTTAATCTTATGGTTTGTTAATGAATGGTATACCACTTGTGCTAGGCCATAATCACAACGCATTACATTTCCTCATGAAAATTTCATGCCAAATGTTTGTCCGATGATTCAGTCAAGTTTTTTGGCAGAGATGCATAAATCTATCACGAGTGAATAACCCATAGAATAGTTTAAGTAATAGTTTGAATTTTTAATTTTTAATTAGAACAATGAAATAATTATTTGGTATCAATAATTATCATAAAACATCACATAGTCAGCTTATTCACTTTGCAACTGATTTATATCTTATTTTTTTGTGTCTTGTATTGTAAACATATATGCACATGATTGAATAAAATAAAACATGCGCCGTGTTAAATCAAAATATTTTCTTAGAATTATTTTTATCGATTCTAAAAATTTTAGATTGAAGCAATTTCAAAACAAATCCGAAAATTATGGTTAATATTCGAACAGAATTAAGTTATTTCCGGACCAATCCCAAACTTTGTCTTACTTAATCAGTTAAAAATTGTTGTCAATGTAAATTTATAAAACATAAAATATTTGATAAAATATTACAAATAAATATCTACATAGATAACCAAAGTGGTGTTTAAAGGAATTAAAAATTATTATTTTCCAAATTTATTTCATTAATTATAATTAATATTAGATGTCCCACAAGGTTTTGGCAAATCGTAAAAAGAAAAGTATATAATATTTACAACTGTAGTTAACATACGAATAGGTTTCTAACATTTTATAATTAAGATTTAAGATAATCACTTTTGTAAAAAGTTTGTTCAAACATTACTATTCGTTATTGAAAAGAAATCGCTACTGTTGCCATTAAATAACGTAAAATGATAATGTTTACTTCCGTCCTTAGAGCAATATAAAAATTTTATGTAATTTTTATTTTTAAATTGTACTATATTTCTATTTAAAAAACTAAGCATTTTTAAAGTTTTATAAATAGTAACATGAAAAGCAAAGTCTCTATCTGAAGACACTCTTTTTAATTGAATACTTGAAAATATGTTCTAAGAATACTCAAATGTATCATACCTTTGGTTTTATTTTTTTTTTAAATGAAGTAACAATTTTTTCATTAAAAAAATGCGCTGAGTTAATAAAAATATGTTTACGTGACATCTGAATAAATTAATTTCAAGTATCAGGCAGAAAGATACTACTGTAGTCATATTTTAATGTTATTACTGTTGCCGGATTATTTCATAATTTGCTTTATTTCAACGGCTGTTATTTTTTATTATAATCTACAAACTATTCATAAGAAATAAAGTTTCTCGGAAAAATTTAACGTCTTCAGACTTTTAAGAGGCTTTAGACCGTTGAAAAGTAATTTTTTTTTAATTAAAATTTACCTTATTAATAAAAAAAGCCTGTCAATTTAAAAATGATATAAATAATCCTTGTTTTTTCTAAAGTAGCTGTTGAGAATATAACAAATTTTGCAGTACATTAAAAAATTCATCATTCAATAAATATTATATTCCGTTAATAGGACTTCTTAATTAATTTCGTAATTTTTTCTAATATCGACGGACATCTAAAAATTTCCAGTTGTCGTTTTTTAGACATATCTTTAACATAAAACAAGCGCGAATTCCACCAAAAATATAACAAGCCTGAAGCTAAATGTTGTTTAGCTTTATTAAGTTAATAATGTGAAAGTCTTTATTTATTTTGATATTTTTTGCATGTGGATAAAATCAAAGGCAACTAAAAATAAACAAAAGCTTAACCAGTAATTGTAAATTCGTAAAGAACGATAGTTGTGAAAAAGTTATTTCGTTTTCAGTGATAATTCTACAACTTTTTTATTAATTAGCAAAATGTGTTGATAAACAAAGTTAAATATGTATATTTATTATAGAGTTTAGCGATAACACTACCGCCTACAAATAAATTCCATCATATAAAACTTGGAATTCGTATTAACCAAAATATCAACAATGTCAGGAAGTACCATGTGGTACTTTATATGAAATTCGTGTTATATTTTTATGTTTAAAACTGTTGAACGATTGTAATGAACAACATTAGATTCTAGAGCATAAGACACCAAACATTAGCTATTCTAAAAAGATTTGTTTCTAGTGTATTCTCATAAGCTTCATATCATTTAATGTAATTGCGGTGGTATTTTTTTTCGAACTTGATCATCATTTGAAGTTGAATGTCACATTAGCGTTGTGAATTATAATAATTGCTTACTACTGTCAAGTAAAGTTCACTAATTTTTTTAATGATGGTAAATCAGTGTATATAGCCAAAAATAGTGATAAAATCTTGGGAAAACACTTTCTTCGTTTGTATTAAAATCTATAAAAACTACATTTGCACAAAGCTGTTTTCTTTACTAGTTGTTTTATATATTACGAGATGTTATGATATTTGTATTGTTAATAACACAATCATGTTGGGCAATCTCGGCGTAGCCATGAAGTTATTAAAATATGGAAGCTGTATAAATACAAAAATATAATCCAAGTGTAATCTTTATTACTGACACGAGAGCCTATGAAATCTACGACAAGCCATTTTTATAATAGGTAATATGTCATTATTATTATTTTAATGGACTATAAGAATAACTTGTTATAAATTTAACGAACAAACTAACAGAGAGTTTTGGCTTAGAAGGTTTTATTAGCAATAAATGAACGCGGTTTATTTTATTTCTTGCTGCCCAGTCAGACTGGAATGGCATTACACAGCCGTCTAGTGACAGAAGCAACGGTGATGGCCTAGTTTCGCGGGTGCACATTTCAATAAATTTAACCAGATATACTCATTCCAACAGATTCACGTGACAAAATAGTAATATATTACACGTTTGTGTACAACTGGAAAGTCAAAAGAGAGAGATAAAGAGAAAACACTGATGGAGTGTACTAGACTGACAAGAGAAGAAAAAAATATATCCGCCACAACGTTGAAATTTCCGACGTTTATGTGGAATTTTAATCTGAAATTGGCTCTAGCCCTCAAACCAGACTCCGTTATTGTTACTTTATTATTATTATATGATCGTCAACTTTATCAGTATATTAAAATACATAGTGTTGGGCATAGTACGTGTTCACAATATAATTAAAATCCCACAAAGTAACCCGATATTTTGTGCACCGTTTATATTTATGAATCCACCATCATTACCATGAATGCTAAAAAAATGCTACTTTTGACTAGTACCTATTTCGTGTGCGTATGAACTTTTTAACGTTGATACTTTTTCCATAGGGTCATCAACTTGCATTTGACAACCGCCGGATGCTGAAAATATACTGAATTTAACGCATATTTAAGCACTTTGAAATTTTGAGTTTGAAGATAAAAGACACTTACACGTTCGAGTGAAAATTATATAGAATTATACTTAACCGAAACTTGAAAGCACCACTTGTGATCGGTACAATGTGCTGACAGTTACCTTTTATTTGCTCATAAAGAAAACGGCTCTGAAAGAGTCTTTATTTTTTCGGAACTGTTGTTCATCCAAATACCAGTAAAACTTGTTTGTGAACTATAAAAGCTCTTTTGTTGTTAAAATGTCCTTCAATATCAAGTCGTTAGTTGGCTTTGTTATAACCTTCCTACTTAATTTCAATTTATTTATTTTGGCAACCGCTTTGCGATTATGAATCTTAATATCGAGCCAAATACGTCGCCCCGCTTCGAACTTGACCTGTATACTTGCAATTGTATTAAGTGTCGAAGCATGTGGTTTTGTTTCAATATATCCTGACAGTCTTTCGACGTAAGACTCACGTGTTGGTAAAATAAGATTGACGATGTCACACACAAAGGTCAATTTTCGCTCGGCCAATAACTTTTTATTGTAAAAATGACAATTTATTTTTAAATTAACATAAAAATAATTTCTCAGTTGAATCGGTACCACTCTAGTTGTACGAACTTTTATGAGCATTGTAATATTTTCCACTCTGGTTAATCTTAGATCATTGTAAAACGATAAAAAACTTTATAGCTCTTGGTATTACCATATGATTTTCTTAATGCACCCAGAAAAATATTTTTTGAAACCAAGTAAAATATTTGATGAGTAATTGATTTATAAATCTATACTAGATTTATAAATCAGTGCAGTATGCACGTATAAAAAGTTAAAGAAAAGTTTTAGTGGATAAAGGTATTTTTTTTCTTTAATATTCATTATTCTCCAAAGGGGACCTCTCTTACAACTGTTACTTGAATAGCAATAGGAAATATGAAGCAATAATATTACATTAATACACGAATATTTTAAAATCGCTATCCCAAAAATGATAGATTTTAAAAAATTCTTCTTAAATACGTAAACGGTCGAATTTTGTCATTTATTCATACACCCAGAGAAAAACCTTTATATAATAAATTCATTGTTCAATTTGATAAATATATCATTACTATTGAACCTATGATATATTTATCAATATGATAGTTTTTTTTCTTGTCTTGAACAATAATTATTTATAAGAATAATTATTTTGTTCGTATAATAAAATATTATTATAAACCCTTGATAAAATTTCTCTATCAAAATTGATTGATGTTTTTCTTTGGGTGTAAGTATTGAAAATTCAATTATACAATAGAATTTTTATTTGACATTATTTAAAAACTAAGTTTTTAATTCAGTAAAATAAAAACATTTCTATAAATATAAAATAGTAATTTAGCATCATTGAGTAAATATGTCGTTTTTATATTTTTTGTTTTAGAAGTACCTATTACCGTTAAAGAGCCCCGAAAATTCAATACTTATAGAACCATCGGTAGCAGACGAAATTTTTTACCAAGTATGTTGTTAACTGAAAAAAGTTTAATTGAACTATTCACTAACTGTTTGAATTTATTTCCCTAGATACCAGAAATTCTAATGGAGCACGAAAAATTCCTAAAAGACTTACACAAACGTCTAGAAATCTGGGATGCACACCAGAGAATCGGTGACATACTGTTAGAAATGGTTAGTACTGAATTACATCATGATTGATATCAACAATATATTAATAATAAACATGTGATTTCTAGTTTTCTAAAAAACCTGTGATAGACTCTTACACGTCATTTATAAATAATTGGAAACAAGCCAAAGAAGCCATCAAGGCTACATGTAATTCTAAGCCGGCTTTTGCAAGATATTTAGAGGTATTAAATACAATGTATTATGATAAATATAAAAACCAAAAAAATAAATGGGAACATATATCATGGTAGTTTATGATATATTTAATACTAATTAAATGCACAAACAATTGAAACTTTCGTTTATTTATTTATCAAAAATATTTTATTCAAAATAAACCTTATATGAATTTTTAAACCATTAAATTATCAACTAAAATTATAATATTGATTATTTTATTTTATTTGTATAGTCTACTGCCCGAGAACATAAAGGAAAATTGGCCTTAGATTCATTACTCATTATGCCTGTTCAAAGAATACCGCGATACGAACTTTTAATTCAGGTAAATTATCAAGTTAAATTGAATGTTAAACCTTACTGAAATCTTATACTTATTTAAAAATTTCGTGATAAATTACTTAATAATAGTTAGAACATAACGTTTTATACTTTATTTATGAATGGGAGGACGTAGTAAATAAAAATTTGTATGAATGTATTTTAGACGTTACTAAAGCACACTGAGTCTACGCATCCTGATCATGAGTCTTTAATCGAGTCACAAAAACAAGTACATGAAATGGCTGTAAAAATAAATTGTACCGAAAAAGATAACATGGAACTCGAACAAATTGAATCACTTATTGATGGGCTAATACACCTCGCAGCCACCGACCGAACATTCCTAAGGCACGATTTAGTGACCATAGTTTCTGGGCAATCAATGAATCGAAAAGAAAGGGCTTTGTTTTTGTTTTCTGATTTGTTGATAGTTACTAGCATTAAAAAGAAAAGTGGAACTATAAGGAAACCTTCAACGTAAATAAATAATATTTAATTGTAACCTATAATTTTGACAGAAATAATCTATTTTTTATCAAATCTTTTGCTTAAAGAAATAAAAGAAACTTTTCATTTTAAAATACATTTTAAACTCAATATTTTAATTAATTTATCATTTTATTATTTTTTAGAACGTCACCGAATAGTATAGTGAGCAATTTAGAAGCAAACAAGTACAAACTACTTATGAAAATACCATTGGATGATGTCGAAATAGTCAAAGGTATTTTAAAATAAATGAAATATATTAGAAAAATCTCGTGACAACATATGAAGCAATATGTCTTCATACATTTCCTAGATATGAAAATGGTCGTCTATCATAATAAGTTCGTCATTTTATTTTTTTGTTAGTCAAAGACGACAATGTAAGACGTATGCTTCGTGAGATGGAGTACTTGTCAGAGGATATATCTACGTTGACACAAATGACTGATATGGTATCGATGTTGCATTGTCCACACGGTCAACTAGAGGACTCTATTAAAGACATGCTAAGCGCTGTCAACAAACAACTTTCCGAACGACAAGCTAGTGATACTCAACTATGTTATTTGGAATTAAATTTGCATACTAGGTTTGTAGAATCTTGAATTTATTTTTCACATTTTCATAGTCAAATACTATGCTTATATTTGATTATCAGGAATGGTACGGAGACAATATCAATTATGTTTTCTAAACCGGAAAAAAGAACCAACTGGGAAGAATCGTTTACTGAAGCTAAACAAAAACTTGGTATTTAATTTGACATATATAATAAAATTTAATTTATATTTAGATACGTCATTTTGAAATTATAATTTTAGTTCTCTCGACCGACCGAAGACCGAATGCTGATTTTGTTGGACCAGTACCCATTAGGAAAACCAGAGCTGGTCTACAATTTACTTGTGCAGCTCCAGCATTAAACCAAAGGGACGTGTGGGTATGCAACAGTGATGGATATGTTGGGCAAGTATGTGTTTTGAGTTTATATCCTGAACCTACAGTAACTTCGTGTAACGGAGTCTGTAACGCAAGAATACTGTGTGTTACATCAATTCCAGCCCCCCAACGCGTTGAGTAAGTTTATTTAAAAAAATTTAAACATTGCGATGTTAATCGTTCTTTTTTTTACTTAGTCAAAATAGTGAACTCAATAAAGACGACCAGAGTAATAATACTGAAATTAGTATATCGATAGAAGACACCGATCGAACAGGACCTGATATCAAATTGGATAGGTATTTATTGATTATATAAAAACACATATTTAATAAAAAATTATTGATTAAATTTAATAATTTTAATATGGAATTATAAATGTCTTTTAAATTAAAATTTGTTTTTTTATAGTTCGTCAAGTGAAGAGGAAGAAGAGAAAGAAATCAACCACGACAAAGTCCCTGATGGCATGTACCCTATTGACTCGGTAGACTTTGAAGGTGAACCCACCATGTGGTTAGGAACAGAAGATGGATGCATACACGTTTATAACTCAATGGATAATATACGAATTAAACGAAATAAAGTGAAAATTCAACATGGATCAGCAGTGCATTGTATAATGTAAGGAAAAATAAAATAAATTACATTTCAGCATTTTATTGTTATTAAGTTGATGTGGATCTAATAAAAATATATATATATGTATATATTACAATGATCAGTACTTTATGTTTTAATGAAAGAAATGTTTAAAAACTAACTTGATGCTAGTTCAGCATAAAACTGCTTTAGCAGTTAAAATAAGTTTTTAACCAATAATTTGCATTATATTTTACAGTTATTTTAACAATCGAGCATACGTATCGTTGGCAAACGGGGACATTTGTATCTATTACCCAGATACAAGTAAGATTTAAAATTTAAAAAAAAGAAAAAAGGTGAATTAATTCGTTTTTGTATTTTAGATGGAAGTTGGAATACTTCTGATCCTGTTACAATTAATGTTGGATCGGCTGCTATGCCTGTATCGAAAATGCTACCAGTTGGAGATAAACTGTGGTGCTCATGTCACAATACTGTAAAAATATTGGATACGAATACACTTCAGTTTCAAGTAATTATATATTTAAAAATAAAGCTTTTGCATCGTACAATACTAATTTGTTTTTAAAGTTCTTTATAAAAAAAATTACTTTATGATAACACTAATTTTATATCTGACACAATATTGCTATGATATTAAAATCATTATTATTTTTAAATGATTTTTATTTGTAAATTTCAGCATACGTTTGTAATCGGTGGTGATTCCAATCGCTCTCTAACCAATATGGTCGTTTCTGGAATGGGTGTTTGGCTTTCATTGCAGAACTCAGCTGTACTTAGACTCGTTCATTCCCTCACTTATGAAGTGTTAGCTGAAGTTAACACAGCTCCGGCCGTGACAAAAATGTTATCAAGTATAAATATTTCAAATTATTATTTTTTAATTAAAATAAAATAAAAAAAATTGTTAAGCATTTAACTTTTAATATTTTTTAGGCTGTGATGATATAATAAGACAACACAAAGCGGCGTGCCTTCGAGTCACGTCTCTTTTAGCGGTCAAAGACCTCTTGTGGATCGGCACAAGTGCGGGTGTCGTCCTAACTATGTCCATTCCAGCTATAGTGGCTAACACTTCTAAACTTTCAACACTTCCTGTTCCTATTGGTGAGCTAATATACTTATTTTAAATCAATTACACTACGTGACTGCACAGAGAGAGCCTTCTCTTTAACAATTTTAGTGTTTGATATAAAAAAATAATTGCTTGTGTAATATTTTTTGTAGGAGTGCCGCATGGACACACGGGTCATGTTCGTTTTTTGACGTTAGTTGGTTATTTACCCCAAAATCTAGCCAAACAACGACGTCAATCGTTAAATCAGAGAAAGGCCAGTTCACCGGGTAAACTTTTGCTGATATCCGGCGGTGACGGCTACGAGGATTTCCGATCTACCGCTGCTTCGGAAGTGGCTGGTCGCGAAGATTCCACTAATCATTTATTATTATGGCACGTTTGAAACCCGAGTTTGGAATTCATGAAAACTAACTATCGATAAAATGGCTATAGAATAACTATTTGAACAGATTCATTTCCTTTCGATATCTCATTAAGATTCAGTTGTGTTATACCATCAGTTAATTGATCAAATTGGCCTATGTGTTATGAGTCAGCAAGTCTATGCTAGTCAAATAAAGAAACGGTTGCGTTAAACAGATAATCCATAAAATATAAGAATATTTCAATTGTTATTTAATTTATAATTACTTGAGAAGTAAAAAATTGTATTTTGTGCAATGTATTTTGAACTATTTTATTAACTCGATATTAAAATATTCATTTATATTGACTCGGTGATATTAATAAGTATTTTAATTTAATTATTTGACATAAAATTAAATCTTATTAATCAAAGATTTAAAACGTAATTTTGAGAGTAAGGCTATCATAATATTCATGCCCTAATATATGTCTTGCATACATTACTTAACTTAATGTAAAATAATAAATTCTAAGCAACGTTTTTGTTATTAAATTGGATTATTTATAGTGTAACTTGTATAGTTTGTACACTAAGTTACTAATTAAATTGTATATTTTGCATTGAATGGCCAAAGTTAAAAATAATAATAAGTTCGTTTGATTATACAATTGTCCAGTATTGAAAGTACTTTACTAATTATGTGCTATAGTTGTGTATTTGTGAAAGTATTTTTGTATATGGATTAAACAACCACTTAAGTATTTGTCAAGTGCAAAATATTTACTTGACGAAACTATTTTATAGGTTATATTTAATATTCTTAACCTGGTTTGCACTGTGTTGTGCGTTTACAATCATTATAATCGAAAATTAATATGTTAAATTATTGTATTGTTTTATAAAATATAAATATTCGTTTCTATTTTGTTTATAATATTTATTGTATTGTTTTGTATTTCAAACAAATATTTATTTAAAGCAAAATGCATTTGTTACCAAATTGTTATTGTATATTAAATTATAGATAATCAAATAAAACCAATATACGAAAGAAATTATGATGTCACATTTTTTTTATCCTAAAAACAATATTGAAAGTGTTTTGCTCATTAAAAATAGTATACTTAACTAGAACTTTGAATAATTTATTTTATATAAACAAGTTATAATCATACAAACTAATATTCTATTCTAATAAAATAATTAGCATGTTGAAATTCAAAAACTTCGCACAAACACTTACCTTTTACTTCAATAAAACATGTATTTTATTTTAAAAATTATTTTTTTGAAATGAGGTAAACATTACAATATTATTAGCAAAAGTAAATTGATAATAAACAAAAAAATAATTATAAATAATCGTTAAAAGAAAAAAATTTCATTTTAATACGACATATCATGTTGTACGTTTAAAGACTATCAACAAGCTACACATCTTTCCAACAGTAAATAAATTGATGAAAATTAGATTTCGTTTGGAAATTACATTCTTCTTATTAGTAAGAATGTGTTTTAACCATTAACCGAACCGCTGATTTCAGGTTACTTATGTTACACCTTAACCCGTGTAAATTTAAATATTTAGTTGTACCTGATGAATGATGTTATTAGTTACTCGAATAATTCAAGTACGACACGCATGAAGTAAAATTATTTTTAACTATTTATAATTGCGGTTTTATACAGATAGGTAATTTATTATCAACACTTGCCTTTTTAATAGTTTTTTAAGACAGTAATCGACACACAAGTCATTTTGGAATCCGGAGGGTAATATATAGTATTAAAAATATTTTAAATCGTATTTGGAAGTTTTATTGTTTCACATTTCTATTTTTTTATCCGTTCAATTCATTTGATTAAATATAGAAAAAAAGTTATTTATTGTTTTAGGTTTGGAACTCTGTTGCCATAAACCCATTCTACATATAAAACAGAATCGATTAGTATAATCTAGATCTTAATCTCACACTTCAAAGATCATCCAAAAGACAATGAAAGATTGCTTTTGGAAATTGTCGTCCGAGTAATGAAATCAATTATTTTTATTGGTGGTAGGATAATTATAGTATAATTACGATAAACTATGTCTGAATGTTTACCAAAAGAACCCATTTTAACACCTATTTATTGTTTTGTTTACTATGTACAGTGTTACTGTGGATAGATACAATATAAATGTTGTTTGATAGCCTTGGAGATAGAGTATATTATACTATAAATTGTAGTCTAAATGTCTCTTATAATTATATATTATGTAGAAAAATTATTAACACAACAAATTTATGTGAATAACGAGAATGTGCGAAAATTTTAGTCCATAAAAATAACAAAAACAACATTTATTGTTTATTAAAAGAGAATACATTTATCAATTAATGCTTCGTAACAACTAAATGGAGTTGTATTTGAGCAGCACTCTGTAAATATTAATTTTATAACTGACACAAGCAATGGAGTATATTGCAACATGAAAAAATTACGTCTGAAGGAATTTCAGGTTGACCTTTTTTTTGGTTTTTTCGTGTTCTTTTTTTGATGTTATGTGTTTTTATTGTAGTGAAGGTTTCAATCTCGACTAACTGACTAACCCGTGACTATTGCCACATTGTTAATTAACATTAACAATGTGGCAAAAAAATTAATTGTTAATAGTATATGGTCTGATATTAAAACACACTCTAAACACATCAGAATATTTGTAAATGAATTACACTTGACGCCACGGTCCCTGAATACCTACTGAATGCACTTGGATTGCATCGGTGTACAGCCAATTACGAACAGACGTCTATTTATAAAACATAAAGTCAAGTGATTGTCATTTAGAAGACATTCGTGTGTTATGCAGTCAATAAAGTAGAGAAAACATGATGTATAACGCACTTACCACTAAACCGCACTAATGATCGTTTTGCTTTTGTGTATTTTTCAATTGCTTACTAATCAGTAGCTAAATCTTTAAATAGGTTTCTTTTTATAAAATGAAAAAAATTACACGATTCTCGTAGTTTGTACATAAATACGCAAATACTGGCGTTTATTAAAAAAAGTCATATTATTATAATTAGGTATTTACACATTTAAAAATTTTGATTTCATTCACAATTCCTTGGTTACAACATTATTGCTAACATCATTATCATAATATAAAATTAACAAACGATTATTTTGGGAACATATAAATGGTAGCACTGTAGGTATAAAGATAAAACAATAACCAATTACAATTAACGTATGATTGAAAATGTACAAGTTTATGAGAAATTTCATTGTGACAATTTAATTGAACTTTGGCAATCTTCGATGACAGAAAAAAATGAATATTTAACTATCTAAACAAAATTTAATTTTTATAATTAAAAATAACTTATAAGTCCATTTTTAAGTTAGGGCTTGTATTAAAAATACAAATAGTTCATTTATTTCAACAAAATTTAAAGATGCTGTGTTTACATATTTAATTTTAGTTTATTTAAATATTCATTATTTTTTGTGTATCAAAGTTTACAATTATAATTGGCTTAACAGGAAAAGAGATAGAAATATAAAATAAGTTTATAACAAAACGTTTGTCAGATTCAAATTTACGGACTTTTTTCTTAATTATTTATACAAGAGCAGTGATTATAGAAATACAAATGTCAGATTAATTAAAATAGTTATCAACAGCAATTGATTCTGCCTACATTAAAACTATTAATAAAAATATTTCACATTACACGATGACAAATAAAACAATAAATAAAAATTGTATTATTAAACTAGTCAGGCTCATAATTTTAACTATAAAAAGACATTAGCGTTATAATTGTCATATATATTTTATGTATACATAAATTTGTACAGTGTAGGAAACCTAAATGGTAAAAAATAATAAATGACTTAATTTTTGTACAAAAGATTTTTCCTTTTTAGCGTTGAAAATATTACGTCGTTTTTCACTTGTGACGTAATGAGTTCAATGCACAAATATATGACTTTATGACTTCATTTTTTAACGTCAACATAATTTTTACGTTTCCTTCTAACAAGCGCAATTCTTTTTTCATGTGGAATGTAAACACGTTTGCTTAAAACATGTAAACATTATGTTGAAGCTTAAAAAAATTAAAAGGACGTACAAACGGCCAATTCTTTAAATCAACTAAATAACTAAATCAAAGTACACTTTTCTGGCATGTTTTAATTTAAAATAAATTATTTAGGCATTAATTAATTTTCTAAGAGGTTTCTATAACAACCAAATAATGTGACGTGATTAGTGAAGTTTAAATGAATTTTTTTTATACAAAGTTTACTTATCAATTCATTTAGTGAACAAACAGTTACTGTTTTTCTTAGAATAAGTGAGTAATTTGATGAAAATACTGAACGTTCACTAATACCACAAGGCGTCAGCCGCAAATACTTATTTTTTTTTTTTTTATATAATTTACTACAATTAGTTATGGAGCAAATTTAGGTATTTTGAGCGATGTAAATAATTCAATGTAAGTTAAATAACATTCATTAAGTATGCTATTAGTGTAGTCTTACTTGAGTTTGATAATAAAAGGTGGTCAATTGTTACTTCAGTTTTTTTAGTAAAAAAAAAAAATAATAATAATAAAAATAGAATGGAATACCATAAATAATCGACAACACTATATCGTTTGACAGTAAAAAGTGATTTGTGCACTCAAAGACACGGGCGAATTATTTAAAAACAATTTCATGCATACAAAATTACATTCTAAAAATAATCATAGAAAAAATATAATAAAGCAGTACAGTGTTAAAATAATATTAATAATGTTCTAATTCTCGTTAGATTCTAGGAACTCGTCTGACGGAGCTGTGGCCGGCGCGTCGGCATCTACGTCGTCGTCGTCCAATTGCGATGGCACGACAGTGGTGACCACTGCGACTGGCACCACTACCGGCTCAGGAGGCATTACCGGTTCGGGTTCGGTTTTTTTTGCCTTGCCCTTGCTTTTAGCCGTGGTTCCGGACTTCTTAGCCGACGTGCCCAAATTCTTTTTCCGGCCGGACGTGTCCACCTTTCTGTGGCTCACGTCGTCGCACCGGTTTTTCTTGCAGTCTTCGTCCTCTCTATTACCTTTGCTGCCACCGATCATCTCGTCCTTCTTCCGCCGACCGTTAAATTTGCTGTTGCCGCACTTTCGCTGCTTATTTTTGTGCTTTGTCAAAGGAGGACCCACATGAGGCGGGCACACGTGATGGTGCCGTAGCCCGTGTATCGGCCAATCGCCCACTGGCCTCCTGGACGCCAGCAATTCGTCCACCCGTTGCACGGGCACCGGCTGTGTGAGTACTCGAGTGTACGTGGACAATTTCCCCAGGGGCGCGTTAGCTTTAACATGCACCTTACGGGGCGTCCCGCGCTTGTTGAGCGCCAAGTACAGTGTCCGTCGATCGTTAGTGTACTTGGCCGACGAGTAAGTGTTGTAATGGTTCTGTTCGATCATCTCGTTGAACACACATTCTTCGTCGAAATCTTTCTGTAACAAAAATTTAGTACACCGTTATCATAATAAATAATATCCAGCTGCTGTTGAGACAGTACTTTTTAAGTACCAACCATAGAGTAATATTACTCCAACAAAGATCTCAATAATCGTAATTTTAGCATTACAGATATCAGTCAATATTTTTAATAGTCTTGAGCTTCGAAATTCAATTGAGCGATCCAAATATTAAAAATTAAAAAAGTCATTGAAAATCTCAAAGAATTTGTATTTTGATTGCATTCTTAATTAAAATTAACATATGTAGAGTAACAAATATGTTACAAATACAAGCAAAAAACAACAACATTTCTCTGTATTAAACTAATTAAAAAATTTGTTCTTTTTTTCGGCTCATTTAAGGGCCATAGCGGTCTTTCCCAAATGAGGAGGTTTTCTTAACCATTTATACTCCGGGATGAGTGGTTAGCTCTTCGCCGCAGAAAAAATTTGTTAAATGAAACAAAAATGTATTAGGCGAAAAATGTTTTCAATTAAAATAATTCGTGTTCAACGAATAATTTTTCTATGAAATTAAATAATATTCATTTCATTGGATAAATATTAATTTATTTTTACTACCTTGACAAGTGTTATTCATGTTTAGTACAAATTTTATCGTTGCATTTTCTTTAAAAAGTTTATAATGTTTTCTATGACAATGTTTACAAACGTTTTATGGTTTCAAATTTTTATTTAGACACAACTACAAATAATAATTCTTTAAATTTCACCCTAATGTCTTCATTTTCAGCTATACAAATTATAATTTATCAAATTATTTAACGCATCAATAGTTTTGTAATTTTGTAACGGCTAACATGATATTGAAAGTGGCATTTAACTATCATTTATGTGTATTCAGATATGTAAATTCCAATAAAGATGGAACTACATACATTTAAATATCACCACACAATAATTAAGCTAAAGATGATAGATTTTCTTTATGATCACCTTTTAGAGAGTACATAGAGTTTCAAATAAGTTAAGATATAGTTGTCATTACTGACATTTTTTTTTTATAATCCATTTCAAATNTCAATTGAGCGATCCAAATATTAAAAATTAAAAAAGTCATTGAAAATCTCAAAGAATTTGTATTTTGATTGCATTCTTAATTATAATTAACATATGTAGAGTAACAAATACAAGCAAAAAACAACAAGATTTCTCTGTATTAAACTAATTAAAAAATTCATTTTTTTTTCGGCTCATTTAAGGGCCATAGCGGTCTTTCCCAAATGAGGAGGTTTTCTTAACCATTTATACTCCGGGATGAGTGGTTAGCTCTTCGCCGCAGAAAAAATTTGTTAAATGAAACAAAAATGTATTAGGCGAAAAATGTTTTCAATTAAAATAATTCGTGTTCAACGAATAATTTTTCTATGAAATTAAATAATATTCATTTCATTGGATAAATATTAATTTATTTTTACTACCTTGACAAGTGTTATTCATGTTTAGTACAAATTTTATCGTTGCATTTTCTTTAAAAAGTTTATAATGTTATGACAATGTTTACAAACGTTTTATGGTTTCAAATTTTTATTTAGACACAACTACAAATAATAATTCTTTAAATTTCACCCTAATGTCTTCATTTTCAGCTACACTAATTATAATTTATCAAATTATTTAACGCATCAATAGTTTTGTAATTTTGTAACGGCTAATATGATATTGAAAGTGGCATTTAACTATCATTTATGTGTGTTAAGATATGTAAATTTCAATAAAGATGGAACTACATACATTTAATTATCACCACACAATAATTAAGCTAAAGATGGTTGATTTTCTTTATGATCACCTTTTAGAGAGTACATAGAGTTCCAAATAAGCTAAGATATAGTTGTCATTACTAAAATTTTTTTTTTTATAATCCATTTCAAACTAATTAAACATTTGATCACGCATGATAATACAAACATAAAATAATCAATGTTGATCCTGCAAATAAAAAGTGAAGGATCTATAAATTTTAATTTAATTATCTATTACAATATTTATTAATGGTGTTATCTATTATTAAAATAAAACACTCAATGGCATTGAATAAAAACGTAAAAATGTGGTAAAATATTGGCAAAATATCACAAATGTCTGGCTGACTACATCAATGTTTATATTTAGCAGGTGTTTAAAAAAATAAATATTATTGAATAAGTCTTGACGTTTCTAGCAAATTCATAAAAATAAGAGATGAAAATATTCTTTTACCTACTTTTTTTTTAATCGAGCTCGATGATGATTAAACACTGAGATCTAGTCAGAAAAATATTTTCAATTTTAATTACATTTTACTTAATATAACATGACATTTTCTTAAAAACATTTTTTATAATAGAATTCTCGGAAGAAAATCAAATTATACATAAACTAAATGTTTAACACGTATAAACAACATTTTCGATTTAAAATAAAACGCTAAACGTGTTTTATAATCCGTATCTGAAGTTTAATTGATACATTAAAACATAATCGTTCCGATAAAAAGTAAAAGTGTGAGATGAACAAATAGTTATTAAAGTAAGGATTATGATTGCGGTTGTCGAATGATTACAGATCAATAGACCACCAGTAAGGCAGTTTCTTAAAGTGTTTAACTAACTACCTTATAAATATTAAAATAGAGAAACTCGGTTCATTAAAAAAAGTTATGTATGATTTACAGATAAAAATAGTATTCTTCAAGAGTTACCTGACTCTTGACGAATGAGTCCAATAGGTATTCCGAACGCTGCCTACGCTTATTTGATTACGATAATAGTGAACAACACATATATTTTTATTACATTTATTTGAATCGGTTTAAAATAACCAATTGCACAACACTGGACGAGAATAAACGTTTAGGAAAATCACCAGTCGATAATGTTGAACTCACGCGGAGGTCAAATCCACCGAAAAAATAGTTTAAAGAAAATAAATGATGTTTCATAAATTTACTCGGTGGTCGTGTACAGCGTTTAAATGTGGGGGTTAATTTTTGCGGGAGCAATAATTCATGTGTTTTTTAATGAATGCATAGAACCGCCCAGACGATTGTTTTTATGAAAAAAAAAAAACTACATAATAACTATTGAGTTGTGGGCATATTGTCCGCATTTTACTAGAATAAAAAATTGTCTAAATCGCCAGGAAGCGGTTAAAAATAATAATAAATTTGCTTGTTCCGTACGACAATATAAAAATGATTTATGGAGAAAATAAAAAATGAAAAAATCTCAGTGTTCAAATGAATTTTTTGGCCATACGTGCAACGTCGTCTTTGTCGCTGCCGAGTATGACTGCGTTTCTAATAAATTTCAAACCGGTAAAAAACATTACACGCATTGATTGCATCCACTGCCGGTTTTTTCAGTACATAAACTCAACCGCAACTTGCAGTTACCTAATTAACATGCAATATTGACTGTCCGAGTAATGTAGTTTGAAGTGAAATGTCGAAACAAACGTACTAATTTGAACGCCATTTCTCTACAAGTGAAGCACTGCACAGTTTCTTGCTGTGTTTGTTCGGTTTTTACACCAACGGCTCGGTGGGCCGTTAATCTAATGATATTCTTCACACGCGCTACGAAGTGACAATGTTCATTTCAGTAGATAGACATAAGATAAGGGATGGAAAAATATTATACGACAACCTTACCGACAAGTCCTCACCTAAGTCATAAGCATTAGATTGTGTCCCTCGTCGCCTAAACACTTTACACGGTCTAAAGGCGTGTATTCTATATTTTTACTGGTAAACATTTTACCCTTTTAATGAAAACCAATTGGACAAGGTTGAAACTAATATCTCAACAATAATTACATGTTCATCTATCGCCAACCATAATTATTAATCATTTGAGACTGTTTGTGTAAAAACCTGTTGAAACCCTTCGAAATTTAATTAAAATTTATTACTTTTTAACGAATTTAAATCTAACGCTTGTTTACGAATATTTTTTTTTTTTTGAAAATCACACTCATAACAAAGACAAAGTATTTATTTACAGTATTGCATATCGATGCGGACGTGATCGATCCCATAGACTGCATTTGCATAAATAAAAAATAAATTAATCAACGTATCTATTTCATAGAAACGACTCAGTTGATTAATTGAGTAGATGAATGTAACATTTGAATGACTGTTGATTATGAAAATGGCGTTTAATAAATTTTGCATCGAGTCTATTAGAAATGTCAGAAATAAAAAATTCACTAAAAGACACAACTATTAATAACGCAATAAATAAAACTGAATGATTATTAAAATTACTTCTTAATACTTTTAGTGTGAACTACCGGGTATAGAATTAACAGTTGTAAGCTTGTTTTATTGTTTTTTAGCGTAATTATCATTAACCTCCGGTCAAGCGAGCAGCATAAAAATTACTTTTTATCATAAACGGCAAATAATTTTAACGACACAAATTACGCTAAAATTCATAAAGGCGAAATTTACTAAAGAGTCTAATTATTGTTACTGCTGTTTAGGAGGTCGGTGTGTTAATCGTTTTGCCAATTATGATAAGTGTTTTATAACGTTGACGTGTTGTCATTTACTTGATAACTATTCGCACCGACCCCGTAGCCTTTCTGTTGAAGATATCCAGCGAGCTTTGTCATCCAAATAAAAAATATTTGACGAAATTCATATGATTCAGATGATTTTTTTAAACTTTATTACGTATTGAGGTCCCGATTACCGAAAAAGGTTCGATCCTGTTTGTCGAAAAAAGAAACGAGGTCCTTTCCGGTTCCGGTTGCACTATTTGTGTAGTTGTACACACACACGACGCGGACTTGTTTGAAATATCCTTTTTGAAATCGATATATCTACGTGGGTCACCTACAAGTGTATGGCAGATCTATTAAGCGCCATTATTTGCTTCTTGACTTTACACGTGCGCGTTTGTTGACGAAGAAACTTAGATTTTCTCAGGTGTTTAAGGTGTGAACATATTTTAGTGTGAGTCATAAATGCCGAGTAAATAAAGTCAAAGAGAAAACGCAAGTGTTAAATAGGTAGTACCCCAAGGTTGGGTTCTAAGTGTTAAAACTGTCCATGAAACACAAGTAAAACATAAATTGAATTATCGTATGTACGAATAATCGATATACTAATTGATTTCGGCTAATTATAACAAATGCGTTTCAAAATAATTCGGCCATTGCAATATCACTGATATAATATTTAATTGTGGTTTTATTAATAGTTGTACTGTCATTGGACCGAAGCTGAAACACTGTCGTCCTTGAGGGTACTAAATGTCTTTAAGCTGAAAATGTATTAGTTGGGTTATTTTTACGTTTTATTTCAAGGTCGATTTATATATTTTTTACTAATTATGTATTACCTTATTTATTATAATAAAATATACACCAACACGCATATGCCGACTAAAAATCTTTCAATTTCCTAAAATAATATTACTTTTTTTTATCGCATTAAATGGTAGTCGAGAAATAACTGAACTACGTAAGCTCGACGTCCATTGAAATTTGCCACAATTTTCAAACATATGTAAATCAACCGCGTACTTCGTTAATGAGCCCACGCGATGATTAACGATCGCAGTCCGTATAAAAAATATCCCCATTGTAAATCACTACAGCGAACTATGAGGCTGCTGGCGTCGCACGTACCGAATCATTGTATTCATAATAAAAACTTATTTATTGCACACCATTTCTCCAAACACGATCATTTTAATAATACGTTAATTTGTCACACTATTGTAACGATAGCAATGTACTCTTTGGATATTCGGCTTGTCTACACGATGAACATTTAACCCAGTCCTACACGGCCGGTTGACATAAGAAATGACTTTTAACTCCCTAAAATATTATCACGGGGGATGAAAACGATAAAGTCTGAATACCGACCACCGCGGCGTGTTCTTTTTGTTGCTGTAATAAATTGGTGTGAAAGACTCTGTTTGTTTAACGAAAAAATAAAAAATAAAATAAAAACCCTCGGCGCATAATATTTATATAAGTTTTTTTTTTTAGTAAAAATAAAACCGTAAACAACACTCCGTTGGATATCGAATGAGCCGTACCGGTTAATTTGGTCGGCACACCCTATTACTGTCAAGGTGGTAAAAATTATGGTCAGCCGTTTGCTTTTACCGAACCGTATATTTGTAGGTGGCAATAAATACTAGTATTGAACACAATATAGTATAATTCGGAGCCTCTCGATTAAGCGATACAAGCACATGTACACGGCCACGAGGCTGGAGACAAGGCGGAGAAGGACATCGGAAATCGTGTGAGAGCACAGGAGATTTAGAAAAAACAAGACACGAGAGGTCGATAGAATTTCGAAACGTTTTAATTTGGAACTGTACTGAGACGACCCTGGTTAAGTATTCTTTGATCGGTTCCGCCGCGCTCGGTGCCCACCCCTTACGGTCATTAGATCAACGAGATGCTATCTCGTTAGCAATTGAAGCAACACAATACATAAGTATTAAAAACAATACGGTTAAAGCGCATGATCTTCAGACACCTCACATGACTGCATCTTGTCGAGCTGTCGCGGTTAATTTAGAAATGTAAAATGTTGTAACTATCAAATTCGGTCTCGTGTAAACTCATTTCCCTATTTGACCAAAACGCCTAGCCGTGATAAATTAATTAAATCATAAAAGAAGAACCCTTAAATCTGTATTATGATATGTATTCGATTTAGTATTCAATCTCTAAGATTACTATAGTACAAAAGGTTTCATTGAGATATTTTGTATAAAATCTGAATGATTCCAAATATATCTCTTTATTCAGCATATTCTGCAATACACGTAAAATTCTTGACAAGGTTTTTTACATATAAAACTAGAATGCGTTATTTTGACTCATAAAACAAGTAAAATCTTTCATCTTGATAGTCGTCCCATCGCAAAATTCTATGTGGCTATGCGCTTACTTAGTTATTTTAAGATATTTACTCACTCATTCATCTAAAACCAAAGGTGGTGTTACTAGATTTGAACTAATCTTGATTCTGTTCACATTTTACTCTATCAATAACATTCAAAACTCCTATGCATACACTTGTAAGTAACAATGAGCACTTATCATTAATCTTCACTACAACCATAATATTCTTATCCCTCGCCTACTATCTTACATTCCAATCCACTGAACACTTTTAACTATAAGAGTTACTTCCTTTTAAAGTGGCACCTTTCTTATTTTAATTTATTTCCTATAAATATTATGACCCGTTGAGAATTGAACAGTCAATTAATTTATTACTACTTCATAGCTGTGGGCCATAGATTGTTTAACAAATTTTTTTGTGTTACAAATGTATTGTCTTGTCTAGATAAGAGCTAACATAAAATATAATCAATCAATACGATAACCCTTGTGTATATTTCAAAAAGTCAAAACAAACTAAATATTTCGCACGCTTATTCCTATAGTTTAAACGAAATAATTATATGTTCTTTAAATTAAAATTTAATAATAACTTAAAATGGCGTAATAATTGAACTGAACACGCACATTTTTTACTATTACCATTGTAAGACTGAGATTAGGATGAACATATATACAATTTAAAATAACATTTAATTAATTCTTGTCTGTCAGAATATTCTGAAAGTGATCCAGCAAAGTGTTTTACATTAGTTTCTTTAAACACTGTGATTTTTCTTACGTGTGTTTATTTTTTACCTAATTCACCTACACAACACAGTATAATTACACTGTCAATTAATAAATATCATTCTTTACATGACATTTTATTGTAAATTAAACTTAATTAATTTATAACCTTAAATTAAAAATGCAATACGGTTCTAATGAACATTTAAATCTAACAGTGAATATTTAAAAACGAGTTTTTTGAAATCATACCATCACTGGTATTATTTGTTTAGCAATTATCGAATCGTAAATTTTAACAAATTTTGTATTTCTGAAATTTTATTGCAATAAAAATTATATTTTAAATAAATACCACGAGTTACGTCTATAATTTGAGATGAAAAATCTCCCTCAAAAAAAAAAAAAAAAA